ATTACAAGTGGGGCTGGTGCCTATTTCCCGCTGTCTACAAGTGAGAGGAGGGGTACACCCTGGACAGGTCACCAGTCTATCACAGGGCAACACAGAGACAAACGGGGCTAACAACTATTCACACAGGGAATTTAGAGAAGCCAATTAATCTCAACAGTCATGTTTTTGGACTGTGGGAGGAAGCTGGAGTACCCAGAGAGAACCCACACCTGCACAGGGAGAACATGCTAACTTCATGCAGAAAGACCCCTGGCCAGGAATCAAACCCAGAACCTTCTTGCCGCAGGGTATTAGTGCTTTCAACTGCACTACTGAGGAGCCTGTGAATCAGCCCAAATATACAGGTGCTGGTCATAAAATTAGAATATCATGAAAAAGTAGATTGATTTCAGTAATTCCATTTAAAAAGTGAAACTTGTATATTATATTCATACATTACATACAAACTCATATATTTCAGATGTTTATTTTGTTTAATTTTGATGATTACAAATGACAACAAATGAAAATCTCAAATTCATCATATCAGAAAATTAGAATATTGTGAAAAGGTTCAAAATTGATGGCCCCTGGTGCCACACTCTAATCAGCTAATTAACTCAAACCACCTGCAAAAGCCTTTAAATGGTCTTTCAGTCTAGTTCTATAGGCTACACAATCATGGGGAAGACTGCTGACTTGACAGTTGTCCAAAAGACGACCATCGACACCTTGCACAAGGAGGGCAAGACACAAAAGGTCATCGCTAAAGAGGCTGGCTGTTCACAGAGCTCAGTGTCCAAGCACATTAATAGAGAGGCGAAGGGAAGGAAAAGATGTGGTCGAAAAAAGTGTACAAGCAAGAGAGATAACCGCACCCTGGAGAGGATTGTGAAACAAAACCCATTCAAAAATGTGGGGGAGATTCACAAAGAGTGGACTGCAGCTGGAGTGAGTGCTTCAAGAACCACCACACACAGACGTATGAAAGACATGGGTTTCTGCTGTCGCATTCCTTGTGTCAAGCCACTCTTGAACCACAGACAGCGTCAGAAGCGTCTTGCCTGGGCTAAAGAGAAACAGGACTGGACTGCTGGTGAGTGGTCCAAAGTCATGTTCTCTGATGAAAGTAAATTTTGCATTTCCTTTGGAAATCAAGGTCCCAGAGTCTGGAGGAAAAGAAGAGAGGCACTTCATCCACGTTGCTTGAAGTCCAGTGTAAAGTTTCCACAGTCAGTGATGGTTTGGGGTGCCATGTCATCTGCTGGTGTTGGTCCATTGTGTTTTCTGAGGTCCAGGGTCAACGCAGCCACATACCAGGAAGTTTTAGAGCACTTCATGCTTCCTGCAGCTGACCAACTTTTTGGAGATGCAGATTTCATTTTCCAACAGGACTTGGCACCTGCACACAGTGCCAAAGCTACCAGTACCTGGTTGAAGGACCATGGTATCCCTGTTCTTAATTGGCCAGCAAACTCTCCTGACCTTAACCCCATAGAAAATCTATGGGGTATTGTGAAGAAGAAGATGCAATACACCAGACCCAACAATTCAGAAGAGCTAAAAGCCACTATTAGAGCAACCTGGGCTATCATAACACCTGAGCAGTGCCACAGACTGATCGACTCCATGCCACGCCGCATTGCTGCAGTAATACAGGCCAAAGGAGGCCCAACTAAATACTGAGTGCTGTACATGCTCATACTTTTCATGTTCATACTTTTCAGTTGGCCAACATTTCTATAAATCCTTTGTTTTTATTGGTCTTCAGTAATATTCTAATTTTCTGATATGATGAATTTGAGATTTTCATTTGTTGTCATTTGTAATCATCAAAATTAAACAAAATAAACATCTGAAATATATGAGTTTGTATGTAATGTATGAATATAATATACAAGTTTCACTTTTTAAATGGAATTACTGAAATCAATCTACTTTTTCATGATATTCTAATTTTATGACCAGCACCTGTAATTAAGTTAAAAACTGTAGCCTATGTGAATCTGTAAACTATCAAATACTAAGTATGGACTTGATTGTCAACCTTCAATTATTCAATTTAATTGTATTCACAATCAGAATTACTTTATTATTCCCTTGTTGGAAATTATTTTTTGCAGAGCAACCATTAACAGAAGAAAGAAAAATAAGATTGTAAATACCATAGAGCAAAATAAAATAAAATAAGACAGATATTGCGACCTAACATCATAAAGCAACCAATTTAAATGCTGCAAACCAAATTGTTATCTTTAAGACCCCTTTCACCCTTTACCTTTTAGCACGGATCAGACGGAAAGATCGAGTTCTGCAAGTGACCCCTGACTAGAAAGCTAAAAGCATTTTTACAAGATGACCCCAGAACCAAGCAAAAATGTAGCCCTCAAGTGAAACTTTTGGTTGTGTAAATATTAACAGAGATGTAGCCAGAAGGCTGCCAAGAAATCTACAAGAAAATCCATTGGATTTGTGTAACACAAATATAGACAAAAAGTAACCAAAATAGAATTTGACCGACCTTATCCGCTAACTTTCAAAGTAAAGAAAGGATTGGTGAAGGTAAGGCGTGAGAGAAAGTGTCTCCTTCTGGAAGGGCGGCATATTTTCTCTGGGTGAAACCAGGTGTGAGTGTCAAATCTTGGCCAGACAGCTCTGGCAGGCTTCCTTTAGCTGGCATAGCCCTGTCATTAGGCTTCCCTTCCTACCCCTAAGGCCACGTGAAGCTGGAAGCAGGGCTGCGGCCTCTAACTTAGAGAAAAAGGAGGCTGATCTGGAAAGAAGTCAGCAGCTAGTTGATCATAGATGAGGTGATAGGTGCTACCACTGGCTAAATGTGTCCTTGCAGCCATGCATGTGAAGCAGCTGCTTGCATTCCTAAATATTTTATGACTGGATGTCTTTATCAGTCCAACAATTCAAAGGTGTCATTAGCACCTTTTCAGCTCCTCGTAATAGATAGACAGATTTATATAGATCTGAATCAGACTTCCCTTTCACCCTAGAACACACTCTCCCTTTCTCAGACCTCTCTTCGTATCCTCACCCCTTTCCTCGTTCCTTGCCCTGGTATATAGTTTAAAGCATGTGCTAATCGCAGGCTGTCAGTTGTCTGAATTGTCCTGTAAATTTGTGTCCCTCACTGAATTATCAAGTCCAACCTCCTAATAAATGGATTCCACTTACTACCTGCTAATTTAGAACCTGTTTTACATTGTTTCTCTGTGTTTTTACTGCCATCTTGGGGTCGATATGCGGTAATGCATGGTACCCTGCAATTTTCTAAAGATAAAAAAGGATGCTCACTGGGTGTTTTGGAAACTTTGATGTCTGTTTTTACCAGTGTATTAAAATATGTAAATAAATCATCTTAAATGAGCTGTATGAGAGAATATGAGGGGTTTACTGTGTCAAAGTGCTGACCTAGTGGTTAGAGTAGTGCACCTGAGCTCTGGGAAGTTGCAAGTACCCAGTTTGATCCCCACAGCCACTGTGGGTGTCTGGGCAAGACCCGTATCCCCACATTGTTCTCCGGGTACTACACAATGAGAGCCCGCTACTCCCCAAGGGGATGGGTTAAATGCAGAGATACATTTCTCCAGTCTGAGATCAATAAAGTTCAATTATTAAACTAAACCATTTTGGTGTTTATATATTCAGCTTTCATGTTATCTCAAAATGTTCTTAAATCCTGGTGAGGAAGGCACTGGGTCTTCCTCATTACGTAAAAGCATATTTCACATTTAGTGCTGCTGTTTGCCCAACCTGGTTACCCCCACACATGGTACATTTATTGCTGCAAAAATGTATAAGATTCCTTAATATTATCTGGCTGTTCATCATGGGTGGTTCTACATGGAGCCTAACAGGGGCCAGTCCCCCTGTGAATCTGGTCCTGGTCCCTGTTATGGCCCCTGTACTGAAGATATAAAAAAAAAGAAAAAAATCTAATCATGATATGTTCTAGAACAGACATAGCTCCCTTAGTCCCATTTTAATTTTTTTTTCTTAGCAATTCTGTTTTAATCATAATTTCAAAATTAAGGTAATTTTGAAAGTAAAGTTATATTGATTCAGAATCAGTTTTCATCTGGTAAATATTTGTTTGTTAAATTATTATTATATTAATCTTGTACCAGCTGAATTTATCAGTTTTACTTCATTTCTAATTTTGATTTGATTAAAACTAGTAATTGTTCTTTGAAATGGATCAAAAATATGTAATATTCCTCAAATTTAAAAAACTGTTTTTAAGTAGATATTTATTTAGCAACTAATTGAATTAAATTAATTTTGACCCATTGCAATTCATTTTTTTATTTTCGATAATAAAATTAACATTTCCAAGCAAAATACAAATTTTGTATTCGAATGACAGAAATTTTATTATAACAAAATGAAATGGAAAGTCACAAGTAGCTCTTTGGTTCTGCAGCTCTATTAATATATTATGAATAATAAACTACTGCCCATTTTTTTGCTTCCTGCTTTTTGTGCCCCAATGAAAATATGCTGGCCCCCCTAATAAATATGGCCTAGATCCGCCCCTGCTGGTCATACTACACAACCAGGGGATTTCCATGTGACTCTCTGGTATAAATGTAAATGTTTAACTTGATTTTACATTTTCAGTTTTATCTTATTACTCTGATTTCTAATAACACACTATATCTTATCTACTGTTTCTTGCTATGAAGAATGTATCTGTGGTGCTTTGTGTTGTGTGTTCTCTGTACAACGCACTTAGGTAAAAATAATCCAAAATGTTGAACTATACTTTGATTCCGTACACAGATTTAAACATTCAATGTTCCATTTTGAAATGTCCTTTTTCTAGAGCAAAACCACTGAGGCTCATGTTGGTTACTAGCTTCTCTCTATGGTTTACCCAAACCGTTTCAATGGAGAAACTTGACAAAAAAAAAATCTATTTAGATTTTATATTTTTTAAAGCCAATAAATCAGAACGATTCATTTTAAGTAGCAATTGAACACATAATTTCATCTGCTATTTTCGTCAGGGTCGTCCTGGGCCTCTCGGCGAAGTTGGACAGCCTGGACCAGATGGGCCACGTGGAGGCATTGGGCCTCGGGGGCCAAAGGGAGAGAAGGGCCACGTTGGGATAAAAGGGCCATCTGGGGCCAAAGGAGACAAAGTGAGTGATTCAACGAAAACAGATTCCAGTGAAAAGTTTAAAAAGGAAAAATAGATAAAATGTTTTTTTTATTTGTTTTTTTTATGAGAATGACAATATTATGTGTAAATATGTTTCATTTAGTTTTTCCTCTTATAAGCTAACCACATATTAATGAAGTGGTGTTTCTTGCCAATGTAGGGACCAATGGGAGTGCCTGGATTTCGAGGAAATGATGGAGTGCCTGTAAGTAAATGAATCAATCTTTAACCGCATCAATTTATTGTGTTTTTAGTGCGCTACACTTCAAATTATTAGTTAACTCACAATACTTTGAGCTGGTGTTAATTCCCCCTTCACATTACAGGATTTGCTTTTAAGAATGAAACTATTGTTTCAATTATTAGTGTGTAAGGTAACCTATGTTACCAGGAGCTGTCACTGTAAAAGCATAAAAAGCTAAAAAAAAAAAAACACTTGACAAGCTTCCATACATCAAACGATGGTGTGTTTGCTATTCTATTAAAATATATGATATGAAATACAAATAAGCTACTAAATAAAGCTGCTATGTTATTTTATCACAGGTAGATCAAATAAATATAGTTTTTAATGTAAGGTTTGATAATAAAAAGAGCTATAAATGACATTAGTACCTGAACTAGGTAATCACAGTAAAAGAGAAAGTAGACTTTATCTAAATGTTTATTATATTACTACATAATTTACATAGCAAATTTTCAAACATGGCCTGTTATGTTGCTTCAGGATATATATTTTTTGGGGATTATAAATGTTTGCATTTCAAGGACCTGGAAGCAGGTCTTTAAGCATCACCTTTATGACTATACACAGCACACTGATGGTGTATGAACCGCCAAGGTGCCATACGTGAGCATCTGGTCAGATTTTGCCACAAAGACCTGATAACATTCAACAGCATGCAGACATTAGTTTTTCATTGATGAGGATTTACTCACCTCAGGCTGCTACATGCTTATAGTAGCTCCCTCCCCTTTTCTGGCGCCCCTTTTCTTTCATTTATGTGGCTTTTTGGGGCTGCTAATGTGCACGACTTACATTTACAGATCTTTCAGGGGTTGGGAAATTTTATAAAATGATGGAAAAAGTAAACTACTTCTGTCCTGACTCAGAAATGTACATTCCCCTCTCTCCTTCCAATACCTGTACAGAACAGGGGCACATTAAACGTGCCTGAAATACTTCAAAGGTTGCACTTTTTTTATTTATTTCTTCACATTTTTTTCATGCAAGGCATTTTAGATTCCTCGTCCATCATGGCAAAATAAGAAAAAAGAAAAATTGTATCCTAACTGAGGCCTGGACAGTCTGGGTTTTTATTTTGGACAACTATGCTACTATTTTAAATTTATGAGATTTCTTATTTGAAATAATATAATTTAGCTTGATTGGAACTAGCTTTGGTATAAGCTGCAGTAACCGTACCATGAGATTGTCACTTACATCCACTGTGTTTCGTATTATGTTAACCCTAAACTAAGTAAGGAAAAAAACTTTCAAATGAATTTAGCTTTTAAAATAATCAAGACCTAGCAAAGGATTTCTTTCTACTCCACATCAGTGTTGTTTTTGACACCATCTTTAGTCTTAGTCTTCAGGACAAAAATTATTATTAGTTTTAGTTGCATTTTAGTCATTACGATGTGTGATAGTATTAGTCGGTTTTAGTCGACTAAAACTTAAAAGGTCTTGCTTAAGTATGTTTTATTTTGCAAAAAAAAAAAAAATCCTTTACAATTTCAAATAACAACCAGATTCTTTACCAGACTGACAGCTCTAGCCTGGATATTCTAATTGCTGGGTGTAGAATGCTGTCATGCAGTTCATCATTTCTGTTGATTGAACACTTTGATTTATAGAATTCAAATAAAGATTTTTATGAATTAATGCCCTACATAATAAAAAAAAGTGTCCCATAAAAGCTGTAAAAATAGCAGATCTAGTTCAACACATCATATAGGTTAATATAGCAGACAGACAACCTAACAACATTTTCAATAAAGGAATGGTTTTAGACATACAAGGCTTCCATCCTAAAGCTAATATTTCCTGATCTTCAATAAATTTTGCATTACACACAGATCAATAAATTCTTCATTGCTCAAAAAAAAAGCAAATACAAAAGAAATATTCTTTCCACTTCGGAGATTTTGGCCTTAATTCTTTAATTTGCCCCTCGGTTACTGCTCAGGGATAAAAAGAGATTTAAATTACATTAAGTTACATTTAAATACAGGGAGAACCTATATATTTGCCTTGTAATGCCATGGAAATCCAGACCTAAATTGAATGAAGATGCTAACTAAAATGTTGACATATTCAAAGGAAACATTTCTATCATTTTTAAATAGATAAAAAACAAAAACTATGAGAGAGAAATACTAAAAGCTCTATGTAACTTTTCATCAGGCTCTTTATCCAAACAGTATGCAATGAAATATTTGCTTTGGATATAATTTAGGAATTCCTCTTGGTAGAAATTAAAGAATGTTTATTATCACCTCTTGTGAGCTTGAAGAAATAAAATCTTGATAGTTATATTTTATTAAGTAGTGAGAGCAAAGAGGCATAAAGTATAAAAGTCATACTCTGAGCTATGCGCTCGCAAAGATGCATTTCTGCACAAGCACAGATGGAAGATCAGAGTTTGTTCAGCTTGCAGTACCGGATCCATTGGTGGTCATGCAGAATCTGCAGTGCTGCAGGCCAGGTGGAGGGCGTGACTAAATACTTGTCTAACAGATGATACATTTTAAATGTCTGACTTACTACCCGCTAATTTTTATTTTGTCTCGTCTCCTTGATGAAAACTCAAACCTATCTCTGGGCTTGCAGGTGGCGCAGCGGTTAGCGCGCACAACCCATGTACGAAGGCCTTAATCCTCGACGCAGCCGACCCAGGGTTCGAATCTGACCTGTGGTCCTTTGCTGCATGTCTCTCCCCCTCTCTCACACCCCCTTTCCTGTCATCCTACTGTTCAAAGAACAAGCCTCTAGTGCGGTAAAAAGTTATGACTACTTAGTTTGTTTTAGTGAATCCAAGATCCTCGTATACCTCGTCGTCAGTTTTCGTTATCGTCATGAAAAAAAAGGAGCGTCAACAAAATATTTCGTTGACGAAAACAGCACAACTTGACATTTGATGTTTTTCACTTAAACGATGTTCTCAAACATTTGTCTTTCAAACAAGTACATTTTCAGTGTGTTCATGCATGATTGATTCCTTAACAGTTACTCGTAAAGTGTCTCTCGTTCTGCAGGGTCACCCTGGTCAGCAGGGCAGCAGAGGACTACCAGGGAACGACGGTTGTAATGGAACCAGAGGAGATCCCGGCCCGCCCGGCTATGGCAGTGGGCTTCCCGGGCTCCCTGGATTTCAAGTGAGCTTGGCTGTTCACAATAATGTTTGATTTCATTGTTTTCATTGCTATATTAGCTGTAATGACAGGTGCATTCCGCTTATGTTTTTACCTCCAACAGGGACCAACTGGGCCAAAGGGTCAGAAAGGAGACCCCGTATATATCTCAGATGACGGCTCTACGGTAAGGTTGCCTGGGTGACCGTCTGACTTTATTTCTATGCTTGCCCACATAAAACCAAAAGCTAAATATTAAAGACTATATAGGGCAGTGCTTAGTTTTTTTCAAGAGCATTTGCTCTTATTTAGTTCTCTAATGTGGTAAAGGTTTTGTTTTTAATTTCTGATTCCATTTTATTTTTCTCCCTAAACCTTTTTTGCGTTCGTCACATGTCTTTAAATATTTTCTCTATTTTAACTTGTGAAAATATTTTACGTATTTGACTTTCTCATCTTTAAAGTACGTCTTTCTCTAGATAAAAGTCTGAAGAAGGTCATGACTCACGGACTTATTGCTTTTATTGCCCAACCCCTTAAAAAAAAGATGTCTTACATTTTTTTATTCTTTTTCAATCCACACATTTACTTTTTTCATGCTAATTTAAAAGTTTAAAAATCCTGATTCTATGTTCTTCTACTCCAATGTGTTTAATCCATTACTATTTTTTCTTATTTAGGGTGTACCAGGTCCACCTGGACCCAGGGGGCCCCCTGTAAGATTTGACTCTCTTTTTACTACACAACACCCTTTCATAATCATTTCATAACCATAACCAGACATGTATAATCTGAGATGTAAGCAACACATTTTTTGGCAAACAGAGGTGCAAATGCATCAATAATTGCATGATTTGGGATATTTGTTTGTTTCTCTGCAGGGTTTTAGAGGTCGTGATGGTCCACCTGGTTTCCCAGGTCCAAGAGGACCTAACGGTTATCCTGTATGTAAACTAAGTTCCCCTCCCATCTTTGACTGACTGCAATCACAGATTAAAAATGTTCTAATGAAGCTTCAACTACTGATTGATAGTTAGCAAACAGCTCATTAGAGATGTCTAAATAGTCAAAGACGATTGTAATGATTAATTAACAGTTCTGGATCACAAAAAAGGTCTAAATTCTTGTTAATACTTAGTGAATTTTGAAAGACTTTAGTTAAGTTTAAGTTGTTGCATGGAAAAGATTAAATCCTCATTTGATAATATAGTAACTAATAACCCATTTTCATTTCCTTTTCAAAGTTTATTACAATGAAAAACATCATAAGTGCATCTTAGGTCCTAAAAAATAAGAATCCATAAATATTACTGTTCTGGGAAGGCCTCAGAGGATCATTAGAGAACATGAGTGAGCAAACAGCATCATGAGGACATCAGACAGATCAGGGATAAAGTTGCAGAAAAGCTAAAGCAGATCTGGGTTGGAAATCCGACCTGGCGCAGCTAGAAAATAACAGAGATTTGGTCATCCACATGTCCTAAGAGTGGACAGCTAAGAGGCTCATGGTTACTCTGGAGGAGCTGTAGGGAACAACAAATTAAGTGAGAAAGAGGGGACAAACATTATGCACTACAAAAACAATCCATAAATAAGTAAAAATTTCTTAAATTAAATGTATTTTCCCTTCATTTGAGTTTGTAAATAAGATAATTTACCAATGGAATGAGTATCTTTACTCTTAAAATAAGATAATTAGGCAATATGCACTTGAAATGCATTTGTGTTTTCTTATTTTAAGTGTCAATTGTCTTGTTCCATTGTCTCTTTTACGTCCTTAATCCAAGAAAAAATGCACTTATTTTAAGAAAAAATTATTATTATTTTTTTTTTCATTTGTTTTACTTTTTTTTTTTTTTTTTAGAAAAAAATTACTTATATAGATTTCAATTTTTTCCAGTGAGGTAGTCGAAGCCAGACTTAATGGTTGCATCATCAAGCTGTGGGGCTGCCTTTGGTTTAGCAGGGACAGAGCAGCAAGTCAAAGTTAGTCATAAAGATGAATAGATATGAAGAATGGATCATTCTGAAAGAAAACCTAAGCTTGATCCTGGAGCTTTCCCTTCCAAAGGAATACTGAGCCTGGACTATATCCAGAGACCCAATGATATGGATTAGTTTAAACAATGTTAAAGTGTTGGAATGAGAACTGATGTTCACATTCAGGCTCCATCAATCTGACTGAGATATACAGGTGCTGGTCATAAAATTAGAATATCATGAAAAAGTAGATTGATTTCAGTAATTCCATTTAAAAAGTGAAACTTGTATATTATATTCATACATTACATACAAACTCATATATTTCAGATGTTTATTTTGTTTAATTTTGATGATTACAAATGACAACAAATGAAAATCTCAAATTCATCATATCAGAAAATTAGAATATTGTGAAAAGGTTCAAAATTGATGGCCCCTGGTGCCACACTCTAATCAGCTAATTAACTCAAACCACCTGCAAAAGCCTTTAAATGGTCTTTCAGTCTAGTTCTATAGGCTACACAATCATGGGGAAGACTGCTGACTTGACAGTTGTCCAAAAGACGACCATCGACACCTTGCACAAGGAGGGCAAGACACAAAAGGTCATCGCTAAAGAGGCTGGCTGTTCACAGAGCTCAGTGTCCAAGCACATTAATAGAGAGGCGAAGGGAAGGAAAAGATGTGGTCGAAAAAAGTGTACAAGCAAGAGAGATAACCGCACCCTGGAGAGGATTGTGAAACAAAACCCATTCAAAAATGTGGGGGAGATTCACAAAGAGTGGACTGCAGCTGGAGTGAGTGCTTCAAGAACCACCACACACAGACGTATGAAAGACATGGGTTTCTGCTGTCGCATTCCTTGTGTCAAGCCACTCTTGAACCACAGACAGCGTCAGAAGCGTCTTGCCTGGGCTAAAGAGAAACAGGACTGGACTGCTGGTGAGTGGTCCAAAGTCATGTTCTCTGATGAAAGTAAATTTTGCATTTCCTTTGGAAATCAAGGTCCCAGAGTCTGGAGGAAAAGAAGAGAGGCACTTCATCCACGTTGCTTGAAGTCCAGTGTAAAGTTTCCACAGTCAGTGATGGTTTGGGGTGCCATGTCATCTGCTGGTGTTGGTCCATTGTGTTTTCTGAGGTCCAGGGTCAACGCAGCCACATACCAGGAAGTTTTAGAGCACTTCATGCTTCCTGCAGCTGACCAACTTTTTGGAGATGCAGATTTCATTTTCCAACAGGACTTGGCACCTGCACACAGTGCCAAAGCTACCAGTACCTGGTTGAAGGACCATGGTATCCCTGTTCTTAATTGGCCAGCAAACTCTCCTGACCTTAACCCCATAGTAAATCTATGGGGTATTGTGAAGAAGAAGATGCAATACACCAGACCCAACAATTCAGAAGAGCTAAAAGCCACTATTAGAGCAACCTGGGCTATCATAACACCTGAGCAGTGCCACAGACTGATCGACTCCATGCCACGCCGCATTGCTGCAGTAATACAGGCCAAAGGAGGCCCAACTAAATACTGAGTGCTGTACATGCTCATACTTTTCATGTTCATACTTTTCAGTTGGCCAACATTTCTATAAATCCTTTGTTTTTATTGGTCTTCAGTAATATTCTAATTTTCTGATATGATGAATTTGAGATTTTCATTTGTTGTCATTTGTAATCATCAAAATTAAACAAAATAAACATCTGAAATATATGAGTTTGTATGTAATGTATGAATATAATATACAAGTTTCACTTTTTAAATGGAATTACTGAAATCAATCTACTTTTTCATGATATTCTAATTTTATGACCAGCACCTGTAGAGATCTTGCCAAGAACGGTAACAAAGTTATAGCTGCTTTTATAGGAGTTTCTATTTGTTGGCCTGTCATAAGAAATACATTTCACCTGTAAAACTGAGTCACAATATTTCCTCTTTTTTTGCAGGGACCCCCTGGTCCTCCTGGCCCCCAAGGGCCCATGGTAAGTCTATTACACTGTGTAGGGACATCTTATCATTTGTTTTACGGTGGGACAGATTACACTTATGTTAAGAAGTTTTCATTATATTAAAAAAAGCTATGTTCTTCTCACTCTCTAATTGTTGTTCAAAAGCCTTCTCTGAACCCGTTTTGTTTTTAGGGAAGCCGTGGTGACATTTATAAAGGAGGGAAAGGAGAAAAGGTATGATGTTAATAAGCTAACATATAGAATAAGAGCAACAAGCTGCTTTTTGAAGCAGAAACCAGTGATAACTTAAATATACCTGGAAATGTCTGGATGTGTCTGCAGAAGGAAATGTTAGTTTTACGATCTGAGTCGATAGAAAATGATGAAAAATGTATTCTTTTAAGTAGACAAAGCAAAGGCATTGATCTTTAACAGAAATCAGTGGTTAAAACCTAAATGGTTTGGACCTTTAGAGGCATTTTGATTTTACATTAGAGTATCTAAGATCTTCGTTTTTTTAAACATGGCATAATGGAGAGAGTAAATTCTGTTTTATTACCTGCACACCAGTAAACTCTTAACAGGCCGGTTATGTTTACTGGTTTAATTTACAAAACATACGTTCCCGTTTTTCAGCCTTGCAACACATTCCAAATCAGCATTTTGCCCATACTTTAACTTTCATCAGAAAACAAATCTCCTTCGAGGCGATCAAAATCTGTTAAAGATGAGGTCATGATAAGCAAAAAGTCAGATTTAGTTTGAAGAACCACTTTTTTGTGTCTCTCAATATTGAAAAACTCTATTTTTTTTAAATACTCTCAAATTAGAATCAGACAAAGAATTTCATTTCAGTTCCACTTTGCTCACAATGTGCAAAGATTGAAGTATAATTAATTAGAAGCAAAAACAGGATTTTTTTCTCAGAAGTGTGCTCTCTAAGGACCTGATCTTCAAAAATGTTGTATATTAAAACACATCCAGATTTGCTGGCATCCATAGAGCAGATCCTCAAAGCAGATGCAAAGCGATTCGCATCAGCAGAGTGCACTTGCAAACTTTTTTGTGTGTGTGCTCCTTCATCAAAAGGCAGATTATATTCGAATGACTTAACTATGCAAATGAATATATTTACTACAAGCAAAGCACTATTTTTTTATCTGAATGCAATCAGGGCCGTAATATGTTCATCTGATATTTAAACATTTAAAAGTAATTGCCAGACCGTGGTGAGAGATTCTTGTAAAGCAGTCTTTTTAGATTACCTTCAACACGCCCACTTATTGCACTCACAACTTTATTTTGGGTGGGGGCAATCTGGTGCTCTTTATTTAGATTTTATGATACAGCTTTATAATCAAAGGAGACACTGAGGCTTATTGAGGGTAAATATGCATCGTATTGATTCCCAGCAGAAAATCAGGGCCCTCTGTTTAGATTTAATCAGAGATACAGTTTGGGATGTGTGTGTTTTTAAAGAGATGTTAACTGAATACTGCAAGAAGATACATAGATATGAATAAATTCCCCAGAAAATTCACACATGCATTATCAATACTACTAAATGAGAGCCAACAGTTTCAGAGTTGATTAGTCTGCAGTGCTGCCTGGAACTTTAGATGAAATCCCATAAGACAGAGCAGTTTTTCTGTGGTTTAAAGGTAAAACAAAGTTTTGGAATGTGTTGCAGTGCTTTATTATTTTATAAATCCAAGTTCCTTTTTATTTATTTTTTATTTTGCTGTTAGCATTTGCTCTCCAGATTTCTCAGATTAGATAAACTTCGAAGACTTTAGCAGGGTTTTGGATGTGGTTTTTTTTTGTGCGTGTGTGTGTATAGTTGTTTATAAGCATGTTAAATTGTGTGAATTCATGTCTGAAATGTCTTCACTGAACCCTGTGCATGCTGGAAATGTTCGGTGGTGGCTTCATAACCTGTATAACTCCCTCCATCCACCTCTGTCCCTTTTTAACAACGCATTGCTGCATCCCTGCATCCTTTGATCGGCACCTCTACTGAACATACTGTCTGTGTTTGTATCCTGAATGACATAAAAAGATCACCCCCAACCTTTGCTTGATTCAGTCTGTAATTAGTTTTTTTTTTCTTTATATTACTTGGGTTGCCACCATGACAATAACAACTTCTGTCAAAGCTGAAGAAGGGAATAAGTTTTAAAATGGAGACGGAAACAAATCTAGGCTTTGATTTTTTTTCCCCTTAGTCCTCATATTTGTAGAGTTGTTTGTTGTTTGGTGGCTTCACACGTATTTTATTTACCGAGGAATGGCAGCTCTGGGATTTTATCAATCAAAAATCAATATAGAAACTCATCTAAAACGTCCAGTTTTTGCCAAAATTGCGATGAACACCAGAAAAGTTTGGAAATGTCAGAGCTGTCACTCCGGAGGATAATCTGTGGGCTGTAACTGGCTGCTGGAATCACTGCTCCCTCTTCCTGCATCGTATTATTTGATTGTCTCGATCATTTGATGGGGAATCCCCTTCACATCCCATTCATCCACCTTCCAAAACCCACCTACTCATCCATCCAGCTCAGCCACACACATCTACTAACATTAATCTTGCTCACACGATGCATGTATGGTATGTTCAAGCGAATCCTCATACACTGACTAAGATTCAGGGCATGGAGTGCGTGGGAACAGCTGGGTCTGCTGTCTGAAAAAAGAAAAAAATGTGTTTTTGTGTTTAAAATTTCCTTTAATTCTATAACTGAAGAAAAAAAAACACCCCTAAAAGCACATCTCTTCATCTTAATCTTTTCTCTTATTTTTTTCCTTGCTTCATTTCTTCTCCATCCCCATGATGTTTTTATCCTTTCTTAAAAAATAGATACTTACATATGTATGGAGATTATTTTATTTTAAACCTTAAAAACCTTAATTCAAACCAGCGATATTTGACTATCTCGTGTTTGCCTTTTCTTCTTCTTCTTCGATAAATGTATTTGTTAATCTGGAAAGTATAAAACAGGGGGACCGGGTGGGATTCGATCCCCAGGCAAAAGTTATGCGTGCTGACCAGTCAGCCAAAGGGATATCCTCTTGGCGAAGTAACCAAGGTGCACCATCAGTCAGAGCTATAGTGACAGGACCCCACACTGTCACATTAGCCTCTTTTCTTTTTGCTAATTCACAAGATGTGAACTCAAGGCACTTTACTGCAGTTAGTCAGATAGGTTAAGGGCCGGATTTATCAAGATCCAATTTTGCGTGCAGTAATTTGCGCTCGCAAACTGGAATTTTGCGCGAGGGGCTGAACCATGGTTTGCAGGTGATTTAACAAGAGTGATTGCGTAACTGATGGAAGGTGCAAAACTGTTGGAGACGCCCTATTTAAATGATGGTTTTGCGCGTTTTGTGGTTTGCGGCAAAGTAGTTTGTAGTTTGTACAAATTTAAATCTTACAGTGACACCCCCACCCCCTCCAAAAAAAGAATTATATATATATATATATATATATATATATATATATATATATATATATATAGGCTATATGTATATATATATATATATACATATATATATATATATATATATATATATATATATATATATATATATATATATATACACGATATATTTTGATTATCGTTTCCTCGTTCATTCCAAAAATATTCACAAGGAGTGAAAAAATGCGTTCTCTGCGTCTCCTTGCTTCATTTCAATGTCTCCTTCTTGCGACAATAACCGCTGCCATTAGTGCGCAATTACGCAAACAGACCATTTGCACTTTCTTTTGAAACGTGTTAAATATATAGAGTCAGATACCGTTAGCAAAATTGCTTTCAGGTTTAATAAATCACTTTGCGAGTGCTAAATTAATATATTTACATGTTCTCCTCCCACAAGACGCACTTTTGCGTGTAAACGCCCCATATTGCATATTCATTGCAGAAAAAGTACTAAATGGATAAGAGTCGCTATTTAGCACGTTTTAAAGACCAAATCCTTTTAGCACGCTGTTGATAGATCAGTTTGGACACGCTCACGTTTTTATACACGCAAACCTTTGATAGATCCGGCCCTAAAAGTTTCCATACAAGGAAACCAGCTGATTGCATGTAGTCATTAACTGAGCATGTAGCAACAGCAGACAGTTGCTTGACTCTACAGCAAACCCTCACACTGAGTATGGATGCAGCAACACTGGAAAAGAAAAAATATCACATTTAACTGAAAGAAACCTCCACCCCAACCAGGCTCAGTGCACATATAGTTAGTCACAGTAAGCCCTTGAGCCCAGGACTAAACAGTCAAACGAAGGCCCAAATCTAGCATCTATAATGGAAGTTGAAAACCGCAGCCTCTTGGGGAAGAATAACTCAATTAAATTAAGTTTCATGGTCAAAAATTACATGGTTTTGAAAAAATATTATTTATTTAAAATCAATGCCATGTCGAGTCCAAAACCAGTTTGGGATTAATGAACACCTAAAATCAAAGTATCAACCGTATTTCTGTTGATTTTAATTTAAAGAACTTGGTGTTAGCCCCTCCTCTTACCCTTAGCATCAAACTGCATATTTTATAGGCCTATAATGGTAGGTTGTTTTGAGGTGTAAAATCATGCTACCTGTCTTTGTGCCCAAAATCTCAGTCTATGTCTCTTGTAGCTATATCACTTTTCTCCAAAATACATTTGACTGGTCCAAGATACTAGATTCAACTAGAAAAAGCTGTTTCGGAGAAACATCAAAGTGGGAATGCTTTTGCTGAATGAAAAAAGCTGAAATTACCTGAAGAACATATGAAAATGTGATAGGAAGTCATCAGAAACTTAAAACTGCAGAAAACAATTGAATCATCTGAAGATTTTGTAGGGTAGAATCATTTGGCAGTAAAATGGCAGAAAGAAACTCATCTTAAAAGCTGCACAGCCAAACCATACATGATATCAAAAAATGTCTTGAATGTGGGCACTAGAAGGGTCTTAATATAATGTCTCCCAAGTTTCTAGAAAAAATGTATAAAGAAATTTTGAAGGGGGGTTTACCTACTTTCCAGAAACATGTCAGGCGTGTTATGAATTAGCAGCAAACAGAAAAGCTTAATTCCTGTCCAGAAACAGAGCAGAATGAAGCCAAAGTTCACAACATAGGCTGAAAAGTATGAAATTAGCTGAAGTAGAAAAGAAATTACAAAGAAAAACTTTAATCTTATCTGGTTGAAGAAAAAATTAGTAGTTTAAGGATGGGAAGTAAAATGTTGAGGACGATGGTATTGAATAAGTATTAACATTTTGAAATCATATGTGGAAATGTCAAGACTTGGCAAAACAATTGGAAAATTATTTAAAATGTGTCGATTGATCAGCATAAAGAAAACAGTGTCATCCTTAGAGGATTGAAAATCTACAAACCTATGTGCAAGACTGACCATGAGAAGCAGAGGAAGGACAGAGAGAGAAGCTTATAGAAAGACAGCTAATACCACTTAAGGAGCTGAATTTATCAAAAAATTGAACCTGCATGTTACGAGCCGCTGTGGTAATGAAAGCTCCGTTGGCAGGCTTAGGCTGCATGTTACAAGGTTAGCAGATGCTTTATTACAGTGTAAATCTTAGAACCTGATTAAGAAATATGCACTGAGGTGTGTGGTCAACAGGCCTTGGTAGTGTAATTTGAAGAAATTGGTTGACTTTGGGTCATAGCTACAAGCCATACGGCACAATGAATGAGTGTATGTAAGGAAGAGGCTTTTATTTTGTAGGTTCCCTTTAGTCTTATTTTGAAAGTCTATCATGGATATGTGTCAAGGGAAGGGTCATGCCCAGCAGTGATATAGAATCCATTTCCAAATATGAAATCACTGGTTTTCCATGTTATTGGGTGAATAGATGCTGTATTAGAGCGTAAATGCTTTTATTGTGAAATTTGCTCTGGGGTATGTTTTGAAAAGGTCCCTAGAGTCTAATAGAAACAAGCTGGTAGAGTTTGGGTCATAATGCTGAGCCATTTGCATCAATTAATAGGGGAGTATAATATAGAGGCTTTTATTGTGTAGGGTCACTGGAGTCTTATTTTGAAAGTCTAGCAGGGTTGTGTGTTGAGAAAAGGGTCAGACCCAGCAGTGATACTTGATGACTTTCCAATCGTTAAATTACTCTTTTCCCCTGTTATTAGGGCAGTAGATAAAGTGGCAATGGGAGGCTTTTATTTTGAAATTTTCCATGGGGTGTGTTTTGAAAACCCCCTAGAGTCTAATTTTTTTTAAAAAGTGGTTGAGTTTGGGTCATAATGTTGAGCCATATGCTGGGAAAAAAATAAGAGTTTAATGTAGGGGCTGTTATTTTGAAGGGTCCCCGGAGTCTTATTTTGAAAGTCTATCAGGGTTGCGTGTGAAGGGAAGGGTCATGGCCAGTAGTCATATTGTATCCACTTCCTAATATTAAATCAGTGTTGTCTCCCTGCATTAGATTAAAATGTGCTGTTTAAAGTGGTGGAGGTAAAATCTCTTTGAAGCTCGGTTACCTTGACGACGTTAACGAGCCTGTCAGTGAGAGAGAGACATGCGCTTCACTTTCGTTCCTTTCCTCTCAGGCTTTTTTGAATGGGAATAGCAGCTCCGAACAAACGAGTACTGAAGACAAACCGTAAATGATATCTAAAAAATTCTTTCAGTCTAAGCGACAGCTATCCTTTGTCTCCGATTGGGGTAACTTTCATGGATGTAGCTCATTCACAACCTTAATGGGAAGGAGGAATAAAAAGGTTTGAGAAATCCTGCTGGTCTCATTGAATAACATGCAGCACAATGGTTGAGCAGAACTCTCAAAAGCAAAACTTTCCCTCCGAACAAACGAGCGGTGAGCCAAAACCGTATTAGGTATTCAAAAAATTCTTTCACCGTGAGCGTCAGCCATCTTTGGACTACAACTGGTGTAACTTTCATATTTCTACAATATTTCGTCTAGGCGTGGTGACGATGTAAAAAAGTGTATAATTGTCAAAATCTTGATTTTGGGGTTCGGACAGATTTGTTACCCCCGAACAAACCTTGTTCCTAGCAAAACGATAAAAGATATCGACACACTTCCTTCAATGTGAGTGCTAGGAAGGTCTGAGGAACAACTTCCACAAGGCTCATGTTGCTACGTCGAATGGTTCCCGAATGGGAGCGATACGAAAAAGTCTGTTTTTTTTTATTTTCAGTTCGGATTTTCAGAGATCTCTCATTGGCTTTCTATTGGGGAAGTGTGGACTTCTTCGTGGTCTGGGCCAAACTGTCGGAAAACCGTAAATGCCACACAAATGAGGGTTACATTTCCTGAATCCTGACAAAAATCCCTACGTTTTGATGTAAAATTTATCTAGATAGAGTAAAATATGAGCGAGTGAGTTGAAGCTGTTCGGCATGAGTGAAATGTTTGAAAACGCTAGAGTGGCACACTCTAGCAGCTGAACATTCCGTCCATAGACTTCCATTATAAATTTGAAAATCTGTAAAAATTGTTTAAAAGTTTGAAGCTTCACTGAAGCAAAACTGTAAAAGTTAGCTGAAAGCCGAGTTAAACAGTAATAGCAGAAAGATACGGAAGCATTTTAAAAGTTGAATGGTGTTTCTAGCTGAAAGTATGCTGAAGTAGTTAAAGGGCAAAGTAGCTGAAGATTTAGTGGAATTTTTGAAGTTTTACATGCATTTCAATGGGGCCAAAAATCGCAGAAAAAGCTGAATATCGCAAAAACTACGAACAATATATTTACCAAAAGTCATAGCATAACTCTCCTGAACAAGCTGAACGTTTTGATACCAAATTTGTTTAAATCAGCTGAAAACTGTTGAACTAGTTAAACGAAGAAAAACCTACGGAATAATAATAAATATAAACAGAAAAACAATAAGTGGGAATGCATAAGCATTCCCACTTGAATATATGTCAAGCTTAAAAGATGTATATGCTGTGCCATCTCAATCAGTGCCTGAGTTAAACTTACTTCACTGTGGACAGTTGTTTTTAGATAATGATAACCTTATGAGTTGCTGGTTATTGGGTTGGGCTTAAACCCCCTAACCAGTGGTGGATGAGGTACTCAACTATGTTACTTTAGTAAAAGTATTGATACTCAATGTCAAATCTTACTCATTTAAAAATAAAAGTTATTAGATCTAAAATTTAATCAAGTTAAACTTACAAAGTACTCACTTTGAAATTACTTAAGCATTCAAAAGTACATACATTTAAAAGTACTTAAATATTCAAAAGTACAAATTTAATTTTATAATAGTACACTGCTGTATGATTTTTTTTGCAGAAAATTTATAGAACCTTGTAACTTTCAGAAACCACCTGATCTATTACTGATCCGTAGAAGCGCTCTGCTGCAAATTATACACCACTTGCAAAAAAGTTCAAATAAAAAAATGCCACAAAAAATAAGGACAAGTTTTTATTTATTTATTTTTTTATCTAAAACACCAAAAAGAAAACCGTAAAGTCTTGATCCTCCTCACACTTTCAAAATAGAATAGAGTTGAGCTGTCCTTATCCCAATAAGCAACTACACTGGTATTCCATCATTCTTCTTTTTATTTTTCTATTTTTTTTTATGTTCACATGAAAACATTTTTTTAAAGGCAATAAACTAAAGAATACATATACTTTTGAGGGATAAAATAGCTCAATTGAGAGCAAATGTTATGGGTGCAAATCAAAAGCAACATAAAGCTATAAAGCCAAAAGGCAAATCTAAAATAACAAAGTTAAGACAACAAATTTGAAAGGCAAGAGCAAAAATGAATAAATGTAATCTTGACAGATGAGTATCCCGAGAAGATCAAAATAATCAACAACTCAGAATGCAGGCAAAGGCATCATGGTTTCATAATACATACATACCGGTATATACATTTGATTTATTTTTTTTCCCCCTGCAGTTTAGCTCCTTGTCCAGCAGATGGCGCACCAGACCGCTGTCTTTTTGGCCTATTGGAGTAAATCCATGAAATTTTAATAAAACAGTTATTTTCTTATGTAAATAAAGCAGGCTAATGTTAAGTTTCTGGAATTGCCTTGATCTTTAGCAGTGGAAAAGCTAAAAGCTAATTTATATTTTGGGGTAACTTCTTAAAATATCATTACCAAATTAACTGTTTTGACCATTTGTACTTTTAAAGAGAATTAATAATTTATTAAGAATTTCTGAGCCCAAAAAGTTTTGAAAAATATTTTTTATTGTATTAAATAATTAAATAAATCATTAATTTAAGGTACAGCATTTATGCCTATAATTAGATTTAAATGTTATAAAACAATTAGCAGGAATATTAGCACTATATATATCCAAGTTTAAACCTCAAATCTAAAATAACTAACATTAAGAAGTAAATTGGAAAACAAATGAATCCATGATATGTAAATTAAATAAATAATTCTGAGCCCTACCTCTAAATATGTAACGTCCTACCCTTTTAATTTTTCTTATTTTATTTCCTTTTTCTCTCCTCTATTCCATCTTTCTATTTTTTCCTTTACTTCACTCATTTCCTTCTCCATTCCTCAAACCCCTCACACCAGCTGATTGGCTAACCGTGTGTTGTATGTATTTCGGACTCCAGGGCGACGTGGGTCTTCCCGGACCCAGTGGTTCTCCCGGTGACGGCTCGCTAAGCGCTGAAAAAGTTGTCACTATCTACAAAGGAAATAAGGTAACAAAGTGAGGGAAGGGTTGAGGATGCAGCACTGTCACTACACAAACTCACACACAGTGCATCAAACAGACATGCTGGGGTCTCGACAGAGAAAAGATGAAAATTAGATGTGTCAGCAGGTTCAAGAAAAGAAAGAGGAGCAGTGATTGCAGCAAACTTAGCAGCCAATGGTGGGAAGAATGGGAAGGACACAAGGAGGAGGAGGAAGGAGAGAGGTGTAAATAGGAAGAGGTTTATCTGGGATGCAACCATAAGATTTTATTCTCAATTTTAGTTTGCAATGTTGAGCTCATGTGAGCAATATGTATTAGCAGTTGTTTTCTCCAAACAAAACTTGGTTTTCTTTTTTTGGAAAAGGAACAGCCTTTCCATAAATATACGGACTGGTGCCAGACAGCTCTTTTTTGCAACATAGAAACATTAATATTAAAGATGTTTCATTACTGATTTGCCTCTAATTTGTAATTATTCAGGAGAAGTCATGCAGAATATAAGGACTCCTTTCCAGCAAAGGTCAAATCTTTATAAAAATCCATTAAAGTGGAAAAAAGGGGGCTAGGAAGAAGGGAGCATAGATAAATAAATCTAAAATGCTAAAGAAAAACACATAAAAGGGCCACCAACAGACTGTGTGTGTAAAATAAAGCAACTTTAGCATAATATGATTCAGCCACAGATATAAGCACTTTAGATATCTTAGATTACTGTAAATAGGCTCTTTACGGCTGGAATGTTATAATAGCAATAATTTAGCCATACAATTAGATTAAGAAACACAATGATTAAAATAATTTCTTATTTTATTATAATTTTTATTTAGAACAGCCCAGATTCTCCTCTCTCCTCCCCACCCCCTGCTTTGTGGCTCCCCTTTCCATGTCCATCCTCCATTCAATACACCAAAGCTAAACAGACGCTTGCCAGTGCCTTTCCTGTCTTTCCTCGCCACCACCGAAACGATCAGAACTCAGGGCGTGTAAACAGCCTCTCTCTTCCATGATCACGTCATGCAGGGAGACGTGGGCTTGCCCGGCGAGCCCGGTCGGCCGTTGATCAACGACATTGTGGAGTTTGTGGGTTTTTCCAAAGGAGACAAAGGAATGCAGGTTTGTTGAACGGAAAATCCATTTATTTAACAGCGAGTAAGTTCCACAACAATTTGATACCAGACACTGAGTGGAAGCGGAAACTTGAGGGGATGACGACCGATAGAACTTCCATGGTTACATTGACACAACACTACACCTATTTATGAAGCTATGGATTAATAGTAATAGACTATTTATGTTTTTTTACTAGAACTATTGATTGACATCACTAAATATCCCCCATTTTTATGCCAATTTCAGAACAAATATGCAGGGAATGCAAATGAGGGTTAATCAGAACTCTTTCTCATTTATATGTGAATATCCTAAAGAATAACCCCAGCTGAACCCCAGCTGTTTGGAACCTTTTGCATTGAAGAAAACAGGAAAAAAAAAAACTTTGTTTTACCTACAAAGTTCAGCGAGTATTTTATGTTTCCCAATTTGACGGGTAGCAAAGGAAAAATAAAATGTATCACACCACATTTGTACCCCAGTGAGAAACTAACTTCCACTTTCATTAAACTTCATAAAAAAAAAAAAAAAAAAATCCTAATTGATTCATATGCTGAAGGAAAACAAAAACAGCAGCTTCCTAACATTTCTTTTTAGTATTGAATAAATATAAATAATCAGTTGAATTAGAAAAGTAAGAAATTATAAAACTGCAATAAAATATACATATAATTTGAGACTTTAAAAAAAACTGTTAGATGTAAGATTAATTAGACATCCTGTACTGCACTGCATCAAAGTACAGACTTTCAGGGTACAGTGAAGGTTTGATTTTAAAGCAGCTTTTGAAGCAGATAGATTATTCAGTCAAACAGGAAAAAGAAAAATATCACTTTATTATTGCTTTCTGACTTCAGAACTACTAAGCCTCACAAAAGAGGGATGGATTTTAAAAGTGCCGCTTTGTTCATTTTAAACAGTTGCTCTTTTTTACTTCTCCTGCTTTAGTCTTTTTGTAAAACTTTTGAGCTACTCAGGAAAAAACTAATTTAAAAACAAGTAAAAGAAAATTCAATAAGTGTATTTTCTCTTCTTTAGAAGCGTTAAGTGTAATATTGCTCACTAGGTCCCCGTGTGTAAAAAGGAGTTCTACCGCATTGAAATTAAAAAAGCGTCCTGGATAGGAAGCGAAACGTCTTCAAGTCTAATGGATTGTTTTTTAACTTTGTGGAGCTACCGTAGGTCATTCATTCCTGCTGCCATCAGACTTTATAATGTCACTGCACTATAATCTGGTGTAATAATGCTGCATAACTTATACTATTTCTCTATCAATGAATTTCTCCTTTGTGAGATCAATAAAGTTCTATTCTTTTCTAAAATAAGGTCATTATATATACTGCACTGCAAAGAAGGTAATGTAAATGGGTTTCTTTTTCCTGTTTTAAGTGTAAAAATTCTCTACCATTAGCAAACCATTTTACCTTCCTTCTGAAATCAAGTGCATATACACTTACTTCTAGTGAAATAACTTTCTTTTAGATTTCCCAACGAGGCACTTTCTAACAAGCTACGACTTTTCATATCCAAATTAAGTCAAACTTTTTAATATAACCTAAGTGAACATGAATGTGGTTATTTGACTCTTAAAATACCCAACAGCAGGAGGTATAATTATATTAATTATTGACTTTTTAAAATGTTTTTTTGTCTTATATTATTTGAATCATAGGCCTGATCAGTATTTAAATAAATAAATACACAACCTTCTGTGGTTTTAGGTGAGACTTAATCATGATTGTCTCTACCAATCATTGAATATGTTTTATTTACCAAGTGAGAGAGAAAAATGCCAAATGTATTATTTTAATTTTTTTTTTTTATAAAGACAGAATTTGACTTGGCATCATTTATAGAGAGAAATGGCAAATACATTTAATACCTACTCATTAATTGATTTATAAGTGAGAAAATCATTTAACTCCAAAGTTTTTTTTTTATATAAATGTTTCTCATTCCAAGTTATGAAATTTTAATGCAAACTTGCTACTTCAACAATATAGACAGAAGGGATGCAGGCTAATTATGGAAGAATTCATATGCATCTTTGCTATTTTAACCTTCAGTGTTTGGATTATCTTGCAGCTGTGTATTTGGACATGTAACTGTACTGTTTGCTGCATGATGTATCGTATTGACGATGCTTCCATTTATACCCGTCAGAGGGTTATTTGGAAATAATGGTAAACAACAAGGCAATGGATAAAAAAAAAAAATATATATATATATATATATAGATATAGATATATTCTACAATCTTTTCTACAATAATCTGATGTAAGGGTGATGTGGTCATTGGCAGCTTTTTTGATAATCATTTCCTTAGAATACTTTTTAAGAGCTTAAAATATCAAAACCCATGGGTTTTAAACATCGTTGGAAAGCTTAGATTCCCCACAATTCAAACACCAAGTTAATTTTATGGACACAGCAAGCACCAAAGCACAATTAACCCAGATATGTCAAAATGTAAACATGACAAAGCAGCCAAAAAAGGCAAGCATGTCTTTATTACTGCTGTTCAAAAAAGACCTATTTTTTTCGAGAGAGAAAAAAAAGACTTTGATAAATGTTTGAACTGATGAAGCTTGCCTGTGTTCTACTTACCCAGTTTTAATGTACATATTCAGATACTAGAAGGTGTTAGTTTTTAAACAATGTTTCACACATGTAATTTGGGCTAGTTATTTGCTTTTCTACTTGGGTATGAATACTAGGCGAGAATTTCCCAAAAGGTTAACAGTAATTGAAACAAAATTTAATTCAAAGTTTTCACATCATAACCTAAACAAAAATAATTATGTAAGTTGAAAAACGTGGGCAGTTTACATAAGAATGTATCTATGCTGTTTATGAAGATTATTTTGAGTTATGATATGAAACGGTTTAGGTAAATGTTTGTTTAAGGAACAAAATGAATGTATGGAGGGATTTAATTCCAAAAGGACAAACCTGCCTCACAGCTAACTGAAATTGATCCAAAAATCAAAATTCGAATCTCGAACACTAGCTATAACGCCACGTGGCCCTAATTTTACAAATATGACCCATAAGCCACAGTGGAACCTATACTGCCTACTTGTTTTTGGTGTAGCTAGCACAAATAGAATTTTTTAAAGCAATAAATGATGCAACTTCTGTGTATTTTGTGGAGTTTCAAAGGTAAGCTTTCAAAGAAGACAACATTTTCTTTAGGGATTATTTGGACTGTGTTTAAAACAAAGAATGTCTGGCTTTTCTGTTACTCTCCTTAGGGTGATCCAGGACCAAAGGGACGGAAAGGAGACCCTGGAAGGTTTGGACCTCCTGTAAGTATCGCTACAGAATCTCTATGTCAGGTTTGGTGGAAGTTACTTGAGGACCCAAATGCAGAGACGAAAGGAGGCAGAGATGAGGTTTGCTGATTTAATAATGTTCCAAAGGGCAAGAGAAGCAAAAATCCACAAACAAAATACAGAAAGCCAAAATCCAGAAGATGCCAGGGAAAACACACATGAGAAGCAAAGAAATGACAAGGAACCAGCAAACAGTGAAGAGGAGGGAAAAGAATGGGAGATTGAACAAAGACCAGGCTAATCAGTAGATTGGGAGCAGGTGTGGACAGAGGAGTCTAGAAGAGAGCTAGGAGAAGGATACTGACACAAGAAGGCAACAGAGAGCAAACAAAAAATATATAAGAACTCAAAAGCAACTATAACACCAAATGGAAATAAAACCAATGAAAATTTAAAAAAAAAACTTAAATAGCATTTAAACCATGACACTCTACCTCCATTCAGAAGGAACTTTATATCAACAAACATCAGTTAAACATGAGCAAACGATACCTTTGTAAGCACTGTGAAAAATATTTTCCCTTAAGATACATTTCAACTTGTTTCTCTTATTTAATTGCAGGGACCTTTTGGTTATCCAGGTGAATATGGGGAAAAGGGCATTCCTGGATACCCAGGACCAAGAGTAAGGCTACGTGCTGAACAAATTTATTTTTTCTTTCTTTAGTTTTGTCCACTCTAAATGCATCTCATCTTTTATTTTGCCTTTATCCTGTGGTTGATGTTGTCCCTATTCCAAACAGGGTCCTTCGGGTTTTACTGGACCTCCTGGTGCTCCTGGACAAGACGTATGTTTTCTTAAACTTTAATGAGTCTTTATAATTTTGTACTCTCCCACAAATTTATTGCAAATATTCTTGTTTTTAATAATAAATCATAAAGGCAGATATCGAAAGAAATCCTATTTCTTTTTATTACCCATTCTTATAGAAATACTTTACACAAAGAATAAATACCCATTATTGAAATGTACCGTATCTAAATAAATTTTTTTCCATATATCAAAGTAATACTGCAAAGTAGTTGATGCCCAAATAAAGGGAAAAGAGGAAGTTTCATTAAAGGTATCTTCTTTATTTTAAGGGATTACCGGGAGATCCAGGTGTCCCAGGACAAAACGGATTCCCAGGAACTAAGGTAAAACCTGTATAGTATATATATAATTTAAAAAAAGTGTTATTGTGTTATATACATCTTAGTACACATAGGGGATACATAAAATAAATTTTACTGAATCTAATGATGTGACAAAGTACCCTATTACTTTTTTTAATAAAACAAAACTATAATACAAAGTCAAACAAAGGGAATCTATAAATCAATTTTATATCTATGATTTTATTGATTAGGAGGGAAATGTTATCTGGACCAACACTACGGGAAAAAGTAATTGACAAAGAAAAGTGAATAGTCTGAGGCTACTCTGCTTCTTCAGGTTACGATTGACTACTCACTCAGAAAAGCAAAGTGATGGTTTTGAGATATTGTAAAGTCTTGGTGCAATGTTCTCGTTAAAGGCAAAGCATTTTATCCACCTTGTTTTCTATAGCGCTTATTGTACAATTTTCTCACTTCTATCAGTCAGTGGTGGCTGTGTGTGTGTATATATGAACCCTAGTCAGCCTCGGCACATGGCTGCTCACACTGAGCCTGGTCCTGCTGGAGGTTTCTTCCTGTTAAAAGGGACTTTTTCCTCTCCACTGTCGCTACAAGCATGCTTAGTGTGAGGGATTGGCTTCGAGTCAATGAGTCGATGCAATCAACTGGTTTTCCTTAGATAGAAAACCTAGAATCAATTTGACTGTATGATCTGGTGAACTGTAAAGTGCATTGAGATGACATGTGTTGTGAATTGGCACTATATAAATAAACTGAATTGGAAATGGAATATAATAATATATACTGTTAGGGACCAACAATGGATTTCAAGGGGTTAATATCACCACTTTCACAGTCTAAAAAAAGAAATCACAAATAGTATTAAAATGTGAAATATAACAAGCAAAGGTATAACCAAGAGGAAGATTAGTGTGAGGTTGAATACAGAGATCAGTTAAGCAAGAAGCCACAGCTCTACCATATTTATATTATCAGGAGCCGTTCACATTCAACATGCATCTAATTACCAGGAAATGTGGCGCATAAAGCATGAAAATAAAATGTATCACACTCACCGCCGGGGATGCTGATTATTTATAAAGATAATTCATTGAAGGAGATTTTGTTCTCTGTTTTGTTTTTTACCTTTGTGAACATCCCACAGGGAGAAAGAGGTGAAGTCGGACTCCCGGGACCTGCAATTTTCAACAATGGTTTTGGACCTTATGTTCAAGGTAACTCATACACAGTTACTCTACTCGTATAGCCTGGATTTAAAGTCGCGCAAGTGTTTTAGATGGTCATGTCATTTGTTATTCACTGCAGGATCTCCGGGTGATCCGGGTTTTCCCGGTCGCCCAGGTGTCCCAGGCGACCAGGGGTTTCAAGGATCGGTTGGACCTCCAGGTCCTCCAGGCCCTTTTCGCATTGGTAATGATGGCAGACTTGTGGAGAATTTTTTCGGTCAAATGATTATAGGACATCCATTCACTCTCCAGATAGACTGCATTGCATAGACGTTTGAACATATTCAGACTTCGCCATGTTGAATACAAAATATCAATTCCTCAATCAACCATGTTATGATGAAAGGTCAGTTATGCCTTTTTTCACTCTGGTGGCAGCTTTTGGGCTATGTCTGCACTAGTTGTACACAGCTGGAGACAAAAATCTTTGCTGATTTATCTTAATCAGTGAGCAAGGGGATTAATTGTAACATATCTTTTAATGTCTTGTTTGTCTTGTTTATGTCTTGTTGTATTTTTGAGTATGCATATTGAGAAACGGTGGAATTCAAACTGAATTACAATGATAAATCTAGTTTATTCTAGGGCAATCCAGTCATACTTCCTCTTTTGTTACTTATCCTTTCTTTTGTCCATTGTAGGTTTTTTGCTCTTATGATTCCATCTATCGTCCTGTGTTGCTTGTTTTTTTATTGTATTGCGTTCTTCCTTCTTTCCTTACCACTGCCCTGCACTATCTTCTTCCTTTCTTCCCTCCCATCTTTGAATCCTAACTTTCTTTCCTGTTTTACTGTCGTCTCCTATGACTTACATCCCATCTGGTTTTGTTTATCCTTGTTGTTTAATCTTATTTCCTTTTCCCCTTCATTGTGTCCTTTTGATTCCTATACACACAAAAATACAATAAATCACCAAAATTTTATGATTTATCTTATTTTTTTACGTAACAAATTCCGATTGATTCTGTAGATAATTTGAACACAAATCTTTTGAATAAACATATGCATATTCATTTTTATAATAAAGCATATTTGTGTTAAATATGTAATCATCAGGTTTATGTATTTAGAATTATTAAGGTTTACTTACACAAAATTAATACTAATGAGTGTATCTATGGTATTTAGACGTTATTTTTTGAAATGCATATAGGTAACCTGATTTTTATACTATTCAGGAAAAAAACTTTATGTATTTAAAATAGATACACTCATTAGTATTCATTCTAAGTATGCTTTATTGTTTCTAAATACATAAACCTGAAAATTATGTATTTTAGTAAATAATTTATGGTAAACTAATGAATATGCATGATTTATTTCAATAGGTTTGTGTTAGAATTATCTAAAAAAAAAAATAAGTAAATGGGGATTTTTTTATGTAGTAAAGCGACATAAATGTTGAAATTTGGGTAAAACATTTTTATGTGTATTATCTTTTCTTGCAACTTTTGAGTTTTTTCAGGCTATGTATTTAAAACATGTCTATTGTACTTTGTTTAATGCATAGCAAGCATTGAAGTTTTACATTTTAAGGTGAATGGATGTTTGAGTCTGGGAAAATATGAATGTTTATGGGACAAAAATGTAGGATCTGTAAACTTCACAACAAATCTCTCCTGTCTTTTCCACTCCTAGGTCCTCATTTTGATCTGTTTTTCTCCAAAAACTATCTGAAACCATAACAGAACAGCTGTCTTCATACTTACATTTTAATTACAGAAAGGTAGAATCTATTCACAGGGCTTAGAGCAAAAGTGACAGAATACAAACACACCAAAATGTATATCATATTTATTTGCAGAGAAACTGTAAATAATGCTCTCAGTTCTTACTAGAATGTTTTGGTGGAGCACCCAAATGAGGACCCAAATGCAGAGATGAGGAGGCAGAGATGGGTTTGCAGATTGAATATGGTTCCGTGGGCAACAGAGGCAAGAATCCAGGAAAAAAAAATAAGAAACCAAAAAATCAGAAGACGCCAGGGAGAAACAACACATGGGGAGCAAGTAATGAAGCAACAAAAACAAGTAACCAGCAATGAGGAACTGCAGAGGTGGTGTATATATGGGGAACAGAACAAAGGATGGGCTAATGAGCTTATATGGAGCAGGTGGGAATAGAACTAACTAGAAGGGAGCCAAGGGGAAAGGAAACACAACACAACACTGCCAGACAACATCCAAAATCACGCACGATACAAAGAAACCAAAAATAAACAAAAATAGAGGGCAGAACTCTGGCAAATGTATTGTATCTTTAGTTAATGTGAAAATGTTCAAAGGGTATAAATACTTTTCCAAGAATTTGTAGATGAAGTAAGTATTATTTGGTAAACAGAAATGGCATTTCTGCTTGCAGGTCCTCCAGGATCTCCTGGTTTTCCTGGTAACGAAGGCCAAAAAGGAGAAAAGGGGGACCCAGGCGTGCCTAAATATGGACCTGAGGGTTTCCAAGGTCTCCCTGGACGTCCTGGACGCCCTGGACCTCCTGGTCCTCCTGGACAAATCAACCCAGGTACTCTTTCATAGAGCAATGTTAGAAAACGTTGTTGATCCTTCCCTTTCCAGGATGCCATGAAGATGAACCCAGCTACCAGCGGCTCTAGTGTTTTTCATTGTTTGTGATTGTGAGGGTCTGATTCAAGCCTTGTTCCACAGCTGAAACCGGTGTGAAATTAGTTGCTGCTTCACCTTTTATATAATTGTTTTTCTTTGCGGACCACATGGCTAAGAATACAAGGTAAGAAAGAGTGCAAGTTTAAACCATAACAGCTGTCTGAATTTGCTGTTGTCCAAGGCCCAAACCCGGATCCCTGCGACATACGTCCTCCAGTCCCAACCGCAGGTTAGTTCCTCAGGTACACTAAAAGGGGCGCCATTCAGCCCCTCAAACAAAGAATCAAAGCATCTTTCATCTTTCAATACTCCACTGCTAAAATGCTGGGTTTTTTTTGTTTTTTTGCACTTTTTACTCTTTGCAGGGAATGGCAGTAAAAAGAGAAGCAGGCTGCTACAAGCTTCAGACTTGGATAGGAGTATCACTCTAATCCAAGCTGCTTTTCTCATCTCTGGCCGCAAGGTGTCACCTGCTGTAAACATATATCACTGGTTTTACATAAAGGGTTAAGGGTACGGGAGCTGCTTTAGGTCATTGTGCTCTAAAAAAGGCACTGCAATTGCTTCTTTTCTTAGCTATTTTGACAGTAGCTCCTCACCTAAATAATATTCCTGCAGACTTGATCATTTATATCATCTGAGTGTTTCCCAGCATATACTATGGTACTTGTCAAGCAGTTCCCAACTGTTAAAATCTATGTAAAACCACTGAATATGTACTTGCCAAATGCATTGGTGTTTTACTGCGCCCTCCTCATTTATAGCAACCCCTGGTAAAGACGTGTAAAAACACCATTTATTAATTCAGATTTTGCTGCCTTAAAACAGGATCTCACATTTAAACCTGAAAGCATTACACCTAATAGCATTTTTTTGCATTTTGAACTTCACTCATTTAGGTTAATCAAAATGTTAATTTGTTATCTGTGACTTTGGTTTTCAGTTGGATTTAATGAGATATAAAACAGAGGCCAGTCTGTATTTGTTGCAAAATGGGAAAGACATGAAAGCATGCAGTTTCACTATTCCAGCGACAGAGATTTGTCTTCCAGAAAAGAATCCGTCCAATCCTGCAGTTTGAGCAAGAATTGTAAAGTTTAACTCAGCTGTCATCGTGAGAGCCATTAAGCACCCAGGTTCATTTTTTTTGTGTCATATGAGATGGATGGTAAACATAAAGGAAGTATCATGAGTTTATCACAGAAAAGAAGAAAAAAAAGGATTTTTGCACATTGTTACCATGGGCAATAAATATTATGGAGGTTGCTTTAAGTTTTATATGACGTGAAAATGTCATTGCTTTAAACAGAAGCCTTTCACATTGCACCAGCAGCTCGAAACCTGATGTAAGAGCAGAGCCGACTAACCCTGATTTTGCTCTGTGACACTCTGCTTCACTTGCACTGCCTGATTGTTGTTGTTTTTTTATGTGATTGCATGTTTCTTGGGGAAAAATGTTTCCCCAAGAACAAAAGTTCATTGTCATCTACTGTCCCATTATTTTCTTTCATATTAGTCACACAGTTCTAATGTCAACAAAGGAACAGATATTAATTTATGAAATTGTTGAACAAACTGAAATACCTTTTCTTGTCTAAGTAAGCATCTGTGTTTGTTGTGTTTTTTTACAGTTCCCTCCCCCAGACCCCAAGGTCCCCCTGGAATACCAGGACCACCTGGCCTAATAGGATTCCCGGGACTCAAGGGATCTAAAGGCTTCAGAGGTACGCATAAAAACTGTATTCATGGAAAATTATCATTTCTCAAATTCCAGCATATAATTTTTCTGTAATAATTGTATTTTTCAAAATAGCAGAATAGCTGCTTGAAGTTTGATTCACAAAGTAGGTCTGCAATTTAAAAGTTTCCTACTTTAGTTGCTTTTTATCTTCTTTTTATCTTATTATCCTCCAATATTCCAAAATACTTGCTTTATTATAAAGATTTTTTCTTTGTACTCCAATGAACCAACCTTGACTCAACCGCAGATATTAATTTTTTTATCAGCTTGACTTAACTTATATAAACCCTCCCCTTTTTTTAATCAACTAGATTCAAAGGGGGTTTGTAATATGGGCCATGTGGCTCATTGCCCAGGACGCTTCTTATAAAGGGCAGCCCTTTTGAGTTCAGTGACAAAGTTAAGCTTGCGAGGGTTAATTTCAAATATTTAAAGCAATTTACAGTGAAACTGATGGAAACTTTATTCTGTTCTAACAATTTGTTTCCTTTGAGCTTTTAGAGGGAGGGGCTTCCTCAAGTTGCAGTTTGTGTCAGAGCCATAATCAAGTCATATAGATTAATTTAGCTTTCTTGTTTCTCAATTAGGTGATCCTGGTAATTGTGAATGTCAAGGAGAGGACAGAGGTCGACCTGGGTTACCTGGACCTCAAGGACCCGTTGGGAGCCCTGGCTTTCCAGGACGTAAAGGTGCGCCTGGTGACCCGGGCTCTCCCGGTTTCAACGGACGTGAAGGACCTACTGTAAGTAATATTTTAGAAGCTATCCTTTAAGACACAATATGTCGTGTTCAAACTGGAAATACGTGCTGCTTAAAATGGTTGGATGTAAGTTTCTTAGGTTTACCGGATACCTGTTTCTTTTACAGGGTCGTCCAGGTGAAAGGGGATTTTTTGGGCGTAAAGGAGAGAAAGGAGAGCCATACTACGGTGGTTTTGGTGTAAAGGGAGAACAAGGCTCTCCTGGACTTAGAGGACCTACAGGTGAAACAGGAAAACCTGGCAGAGATGGACAACCTGGCTTCCCTGGACCCCCAGGACCCCCAGTAAGAGTTTACAATTCTTAAAAAAAAAAAAAAATGTTTCCATCCACCTTCTTCCGCTTATTCGGGGTAGGGTCTTGGGGGTTGCAGCCTCAGTAAGAAGCCACAGATGTCCCTCTCCCAAACTACTTGTGCCAGCTCTTCCAGGGGAATCTCAAGGCTAGCCAAGAAACATAGTCCCTTCAGCGTGTCTTGGGTCTCCTCCTGGTGGGACGTGCCTGGAACACCTCACCAGGGAGGCGTCCAGGCCTTCAACTGGCTCCTCTCGAATAAAATTGAAATCTTATGATTTTTAAGCTGATTTTCTTTTCATTTTCTTAACTTTCTTTCCTCTTTTTTTTCCGCGTTTTCCTTAAGGGGGATGGTGGTTACGGCACAATAGGAGAGAAAGGTTTCCCTGGCTTTGCTGGACCCAAAGGCCGCCCTGGTGCCCCTGGGGATCCTGGCCCTGGCTACAATGGAGCACCTGGCATCCGAGGCGAACCTGGAGAGCCGGGCATACCAGGGTTTCCAGGACTTCCAGGTTTACCTGGTGAAAAAGGTAAGTGGTGACAGGGACAAACATCTGGCTGAGACGATGACAGATTGGGAACAATTTGAATCTCTGTCATGTTCTTCCCACAGGATAGCAATCAGAATCACACACTGTCAGCTTTGTTTGTATCTTTGTAACAAACTTAAAAAATCAGCTGATATTTAAAGGGACAGATATTATATAGACCACATTGATCTAGGTTTGAAACACTCCAAGACTTTAGGAGAGTTGAGACTCTGTCAGGATTTCCTTTACTGATCAGCTCCCTGCCCTTTGTGCCTTGGAATGCTGTCATATGCTTTACCAATATGCTTTTATTCATAGGTCAATAATCCACATGCTTCTTTAGAGGAATGAATGAAGATAATAATGATACTGTAATTACTGACATAAACTGTTGTGCTTCTTTAGTCTCAGAGAATAAGAACATGGTATTATTTCTTTCTAATTGTTACCAGGTGCATGGCTGACTTAGTAAATATTTTGTTTTCCTGGTCATTCTTACACAGTCTTTCAAAAAGTCTGAAATTGTAGCATTAAGAACTAAAGCAATTCACTTTTACTTATCTTAAGTCCCTTTTGGGCGTGACTCACCAAAGACAATTGCATAATTGTCAAGAGAGACATAAAGATGCATTTTTACATCAAAGAATCTGAAAACTGTGCACAGGTAATCTAGATACAATTACAGCTGCAAGTCCTTTGCAGCAGTAGTTGACACTGAAATCGGTGATGTACGGGGGGGGGGGGTTCCTCCGCCTTGTGATCCAGTTGTTAAAAAATGTATGCTAAAGTTCTTTAGGGAGCCAGCATGTGTGTTAAACTGCCCTCTTGGAAGCCAAAACACATATTCAAGTGCCCCCTTGGGAGCCAAGATGCATACTAAAGTGCAGTTTTGGGAGCTTAGACACATGTTCAAGTGCCCTCTCAGAAGACATAACACATTTTCATTTGCCCACTTGGGAGCGAAAACGCATGCTAAAATGCTCCCTTGGGAGCCAATGTTAGATTGCCCTCTCGGGATCGAAAGTGCATGATAAAGTGCCCTTTACAGTGGTGAGGACAAGCTATATATGCCCTCTTATGTTTTTTCCCCACTGCCCTTAAAAAAGTCTGTTCAGGCCATTGCTTACATTGTTTTTTTTTCATCCAAGGTCAGATAATTTAGATTAGGTAAGGTCTGTAAACGTCCTTCAAGGACCTCTAACATATTGTCCTGTCATAGCTGTAAAATTTGGGGAGGTACTATACTATACATCATCATGTGATGGAACAGGGCTTAAGAGGTCCTTCAATCTTGGGATTTTGTTTTATAACTTAATCCTGCTTTTAAAAAAATCTACACAACTCCCTTGTGTATTTGTTTTTCTGCCTTGAACATCATGATTCCGATTATTTTTATAAAATACTCCATAAAACCTTATAGGGTACAGCTGTATTTACTTAGATTAAAATACGCAGGAGAGGACTTTATTTTTTCAGATGTCTTCTATAGACATCATAAACCCGGTCCTCAGGGTCAACTGTCCTTCTTGTTTTAGATGTGTCTCTACTAAAGCACACCTGATTCAAATGATTCCTTTACCTCCTCAGCAACCGTTAAAAGTTGCAAAGGCCTGTTGATCATCTTTTCATTTAGGTCAGGTGTCTGGAGGCAAAGAAACACCTAAAACATTTAGGCCAGTGGGACCAGGGTTAAGAAACCCTAATCTGAAGCTGGATTAGTTTAACTGGAATTCATTTAGGGGTAAAAGAGTAAAAAAAATACAACTGGAAATACAAATTCTCTTATGCATTTTAACCCCTCCCCCTGGGGAGCAACCGGGGGTTAAAGGTCTTTTCAGGGACCCAGGGTGCAGGCTGTGGGAATGGAAACGGGTAGTTGCAACAGTATATATATAAAATATAAAGTATAAGTATATATATATATAATAATATATTTTCTGTCTCTGTACAATTATGCAAATGTTTGTGTTGTCACATAAAATCTCAGTTTAGTAAGGTGTTTATAATTATAAAAAATATTTTAAAAAGTATGAAATATTTAAACATACAAAATATTTTTGTGAGTCCCTGAATGCCTAATATCAATTCAAGTTTGTGGTATTAGAAACTAATCACCTTAGGGTGATTAGTTATCGGTAATATTCAGTTCTACCTCTCTGGGACTAAACAACACAAGAAATCAGTTGCTGCCGGTGTTCTGTCAGACCAGCATACCCATAGTCAATACGCATGCGCAAGACTTCAGATTTTCATATGCTAGTCCCATTTATCTCTTTAGTTTTGTACGAAAATACACTTTAAACTACCTTAATGGGCGTGTATTCCTTTAGTTATGTACAAAAACAATTAAATTTTTTATTTTTAATTTAATTTTTTTTAAGCATATGGAGATCTGACCTTAAATTACATGGCTAAAGGGATACACACCCATTGAGGTAGTTTAAAGGATATTTTTTGTACAAAACTAAAGGGATACACAGAGATAAACTAAAGGGATGAATGGGTATTCCCTATGGGTATGCTGAACTGATAGAACACCGGGCTTCATGTGCCGTATGAATGTGTGCTCTCATCTCAAAAAGCTTACGCTGACATGGATTGATTTTTGCTTTAATTATCGCTGTTATTATCACTCTCAGGACCTGAGGGAGAACGAGGGAATCAAAGGGCAGATGCAGTGTTCGGTCACTGCCAGGCACCACCTCCTTCTCTTTCCTCAGCAGATGATGATAATAGTCTGTTTTTAACTCAACCAAGCATTCCAGTATGCTTCTGCCTTAATTGACTTAAACTGATTGCTGATTTACCTATAAATGTTTAATGGAAAACATTGATTGCTTTACTGGTGCATGAAAATGCCCTGGCTCTTTATACTCTGTCTTTTATCCCCCTCTTTGTTTAATAAAAAAAAATATCCTTCCCCTGATTCTCTCTATCTCCTACCCCTCTACCTGTCTCAACTTCCTTGTGCATGTGTATCTGTCCAGGTGAAAACAGCTGTGGAGGGGTTAATGACGCCGGAGAGGGAACGGGTGGGTAACTAACTTCCTCAACCACCAGTTGGGTTAACAAACTGGGGACAGTGTATGTAGCAGAGAAACTGGTGGTTTAATGAAGTAACCAAGAAAAAAACATAGACGAAACATACGCAAATATAAACAGTTCCGATATTGTCAATTGGACAGATTAACTGTATCCTATAGACATCGTAGTAAGAGATATACTAAATATTTAGCTAAACAGATTTGTCTCGTTTTATAATAAAGAGCTTTAACCATTGGTATATTTTCGCAACTGGCGTCTTTTTTAGTTCTTTTTTGGGAGGCTGTAGTTCCATTTTGACTAGCATCATCCATGTGCTTTTGTCTCATTCAGTGACATAGGAAAGGCTGAAGTCTGTCTGGATTCTTCCCAGCGGTCCAGAGTTCCCTTCCTATCTAGAATAGTGCATTTAGAATAGAATAGAATTACAATTCAACTTTATTTACATTACAATTGTCGATCGAAGAGAAGACAAGTGCTCTTGCTCTCACTTGAATGTAAATGCATGACCCAATGATCCGTAAAAACTTTATAAATATCTTTGAAACAGGTAGCGGAGAGCAGCGGCTGCAAAGCACGCCAACATCCAAGCAGCCGCGCATGCTTGTCTATGCCTGAGCAACAAGCAACCAAGCAATTGTCACAAGTACAAAGCAATGAAATTTATTCTCTGCATTTAAAGTCGTAGGGAAATCATATTTAAATGTCAAATCATTCTGGCTTAAACATGTGTATAAATGTACTCTTTATCAGACTATATTGTCCCAAAATTAAGAAAATTCCTATTTAAAAAGAAAATTTTTTTTCTTTATTTTATGCAGGCCCATTAGTTATACATTAGCTTGTACACCTAAATTCAGCCAATCCTATATCAATGGTCATCTGTCAATAAATTTTTTTCGGTCATAGAATTTTGATTCGTATGTCACAGCTAATATACGCAACGGTTGAAATAAGAAATAAGAATCGTTTACTTTCCCATTGAGTTCCGTCCCAGTGTTCACGGGGATGGACGTCTGCGTCTTCGACAGGTGTAGAGCTAACAGAACTTGCAGCATTGTAAGGCGACGGCTCAAACATGTACGGCTGTACGCCTTCTACAGCAAACCAAGCTTCTGCCGCCTGGCGTCCTCTTCCACAACAACTCCGTCCCCGCTTTCCTCCTCTAAATAAAAAATGTATGACAGAGGAGACTCATCCTCAATCTCGAACACAAAACTCTCCTCCCCTTGCATGTTTCTGCTGTCCATAGCGTTCCTTGACAGTGTCGTTTCTAAGTCACCAATTTAGTGCTACTTGGTCCCAATGGAATTTCCCATTGGGAACCTACTAGCACTAAGTTGCTAACTGGTTAGCAAGATGCTTCAGAGACAACGGCCAAATCAAAGTTGCTTGCAAACCTTCCGCCACAACAACCCCACCCTTTTGATAAACGGCCAATAACATTCACTTTATTCACTCGAGTAAAGTTGTCAACACGCGGGAGAATTCGGAAATGGAACAGCTGTTTCCCTACGACTTTAACTCTTCCCTTTGGGGAGCAGTGTTGACCCTGAGAAAAGTAAAGGAAAAAGATCTAGGAACAGGGGCCAGGGGCTACAATTAGCAGTATTTGGTTAGAGCCCATTTGTTAAAAAAAACACTTAAAGATAAAAAGTTTTTTTTTTTTCATTTCCCTAAATGTCTTGTTTTATGTTATTGCCAATGTTTTGGATCATAGACATTAATTTGTTGTAATACCTCACCATATGAGTTAATGAACATCATAAGCAAAGTTTTAAAAGGATTTTCAATTTGTTGATAGGGTGTAGTATTAATCGAACTTGTCTGTTGGCCTTATAGTTTGATTCAAATTACTATTTCCTGTGTTTTGGCAACCCATCATTTCTTCCAAAAGTGCTGGGAGATTCTTTTTAAACATCAACGTTTTCAAATCCATGCTCTTTTAAAATAGCTTCTATGTATGACTTTCCCAAGAAATTAAGGGTCTCTGGGTCTATAGAGTTTGAAGATGAAGAGGCAAGTTTGGAAATTGCAAAATGGGTTAGAAGAAGAGTGGGTGGTTGCAGTCACTGGACAGTCACATTTGTATATCTTTTTTCTCTAATCAAAGCTGCTGAAACCTGCCAGTTGTTTTTTAACGCTATGCCTCTGCTGAGCACTTTTAATCACAGACAATCATACGAGGTAGCTCATGAGAAAAACTGCTTATGATCCTCGGACACAATAACCAGACTGAATGTTGTACAGTTTCTCATTATCTATGCACACTTTTAATACAAGCGTTTTGCTACTAACGACATTCATAATAAGAGTCAATCTTCTTACAGTTAAAGTGTAATAACCCAATGAAGTGTTGCCTGATTTAAGTGACTGACAATAATCAGGAATGCAAACTGAGAAGTGGTTCATATGGACTCAGACTGATTGTTCTAGGGTATTATTGTTAGCAGTCAACAATCATAATCTCATTTTTATCACTAGATGTATCTATATATAAACAATGACTTTTGTACAAACAAGTATTTATGTGTAATGCTTTTAGATTTTCATATAGATCCGCCTGCAGTTTAAGTGTGTTTTTATCTTCATACTTTAATAGAAGTGTCTGTGTTTGCTCCAAATGTGTTGTACATTTTTTTAAAGTGTGAATACTAACATAAATGTGACCACTACCAGGCACTAGCATACCTTGTACCATATATGGTGAAGAGGGAGACCCTGGTCCTGCTGGTTTTCCTGGACAACCAGGTAACATTATTTTACACTCAAATAAGAATATCACAAACATTTAGATGAGTGTGTTTGGAAAACCAATCATGTCAGCCTGTTTTGTTTGAAAGTTCCTTTCAAAAGCATATTATGCCTTGGCTAAACGCTAAGAATGAGAGCCTAGTCTGTTTCTTTGTCAGGCCCCAAAGGTGGGCCAGGTTTCCCAGGCAGCCCTGGACGTCCAGGGTTTGATGGTCCAAAGGGAGAGATCGGAGACCCCGGCTTTGGAGGACGACCAGGACCACAAGGTAACCGGTGCTTCTGTCCATTCAGACATGGGCATTTATTTTTTTTAATTTAATCTTGTATTTATACAGGAAAATACACTCTCATCCACAAGAGAGATCAGTTACATGTATAAACAACAATAACATAAAAACAGTAATAATACGAAAGGAAAATAACAATAATAAAAACCAACATTTCACCAAGTACATTTGAACATCAGTACCATGCAACACTAGCAGGGGTTCACTTAAAATAAGTACAGGTGCCTACAGATACATTTTACAATCCATTTATTAAAATTTTGAACTCCCTACGAGTGATGCAATTTGAAAGCTTCAGGTCCTGCTGTAGCGTGTTTCAAGTGGAAGGGCAGAAAAAGAATGCTTTTTTCCTGCAGATGATAGTTGGGGTACAGTAAAGCTTTTTACGTGAAAAGTAGCAAGACAATTATGAGGGAACAAGAGTGAAAATGGATTTGTAAATCAATTTGAATCAATGTTAGAGTATGTGAGTGTGTAGACGGGCATTTAACCAAGGATAATAAGGTGCAATGGTGAGTGGGAGCTTTTCTATCTCATAGCTCCATGTTAGACGGTGTACAACAGCTGTAAAGACCTGGTTGAAGCCTTCATATACACAATATCTCTAAAGTCTCAAATACTCAAAAAGGTGGCAGAGACAGGTTTGCTGGCATTATATAAAAAACGTGTTTGTTTCTATGAAGAAGTCTTATTTTAGCTTAACATTTTTCCAGTAGATTCTCTAAATGAGGTTTGAAAGTGAGATTATCATATACAGTAATGCCACTATATTTAAAACTTTCTACTACTCAAAATTGAAGGGTAGTGATAGTGGGAAAGAGTGAGGGCTCGTTGTTCTTGGTAGGAAATAAAATGCCCTTAGTCTTACTTGGATTCTGTAATAATATAAGTTGCAATAGTTTAGACTGAAAGCTGTCAAAGGAGGTATATGAGGACTGAAAAGAAGGGCAAAGGTTATCTACTGACAATAAATCACTGAATCATCTGCATAAAGATACACAACTGCACTTTTAGGACTATGACCAAGTTTGTATATATTGGATCAGATCTACGACTGACCCTTGTGGAACCCCTCTATAAATATTCATATAACATGTTGTTTGACCACCACACTGTTATGTAATATAGAAACCAACCCTTAGCCTGATGAGTGAACTTTAATCCAAAACACTTTGACACAAAATCTCATGATCAACCATCTCAAATGATACGGACAGATCTATGAAGTGGAAAGCATAAAAGTCCTTCGTATCAAGTGCTTTAGGTCCATTAGGTAATTATGTCATGGTGCTATATGGTTCCATAAAGCTATAATTCAATCAGAAGGGAGAAAGTAAGTTTAACTTTATGGCCTGAAACATATTTAAGACAAAGCAGAAAATTTTATAAAGTATCTTTTTAGTAGTGAACATTGACAAACAGCTCAGACAATCCATGAACAAAAGCTCAGAGTTCTGTTTGTTGGAACTTGCTGATGAGAAAAACGGTGCTTTTGTGCTACGAGAAGACAATCTCCCATCCTGTCTTTGCAACCTTTGCAAGAAACAACCTGGCTTTGACAAAGTCTTAGGACTGTCATGAAACGAGGACAGATGGACCCAGTATTCAAGGAGAGACAGTCAGTAGGAAAGTTCAAAAAGTTTATTAAAATAAAACAAAAACTGAAGTTGAGCTGTGGCTCACGGACACTGCAGGAGGGGGGCGGGGAGCCGCCCAATCTCAGACACTCTAAGGGAGAAACACAGGTAAATGACCACGATCATCTGACTGAAGATGATGTTGTCAGTGAGTCACTTACCTGGTTTAGGAGTTCAGTCCATACCCCTTGAAAGGGGTGCAATCCAGCCGATGGGCTGACAGCTGACGCAGCTTACGTCACACAGAGTGTCCCCGGTGCTGCAGCTCCGGAGGAGTTGCAGGAAGCCGATCCTGATCAGGGATACAGATCAGGCAGCAACGGACAGAACAGGTTGCAGAACAGGCAGGAACAGAACAGGTGGCAGTATCCAGGCTTCCAGGCAATAACAGAGCTCCGGGACAGGTTCAGAGTCTGACAGGGTCCGAAAGCGTGAGCAGGTGGTCACGCACAGGAGCAGACAGGATCAGGTGCAGCTGAGCAGGCTCAGTGGAAGAAGGTAGCCGAGATAGGACGTGGAACCAGAACTTGATGCAGGACCTTTAAACTGGTCTCCTCCCTGGAGCCAGGCTTACTTGGATAAAAACTGGATCCAGGACATGAACCAAGGAATAAAGCTAACAGAAAGACAAATAATGATCTGGCCCTGAATGCTCAGGCTGAACTGAATATTACCAAGAGGAAACAGGTGAGAGGAATAAATTATAATTGAGGCAGGGAGGGAAAACGACAGGTGAAAGGAATGACTAATTAAGGTATAAACACTGGTTTAATTAAACACATCATGAAATTAATATATTTCATCAGTTATCTGTAATCCTTCTTTACAGGGTTGTTGCTACAGACACATTTTTTCTTAGCTAGATGCACATCATCATCAAGTAAACCAGTAGTTGATCACCCATGAATTGCTGCATCAAAAATGTTATGTTCAGATACAAATTAATAAGTTTTCTTTTTTACATACATACATTTTTCGTCTCTCACCTAAATTTTCTTGAATGATATGAGAATAGTTGACGGTTTAACCTACGTTTTCGACAGGTTTTCCCGGACCTAGAGGAGATCCTGGAGTTCCAGGTACTCCAGGAGCACGTGTTGATGGTACCAGGGGTAGAGATGGCATTCCAGGACGTCCTGGACCCAAAGGCCCACCTGGAGAAGTTCTGGGAGCCAGACCTGGAAATCCAGGACAGGATGGTGCACCTGGGATACCCGGAGACAAGGGTCTGCCTGGGAGTCCAGGGGTACCCGGACTACCCGGTGGGTCTTAGATGAAAACACTAGTTTTCTTTTCGAACTGATTAATAAACATATTTATTCTTGAATGTAATATTCATATTGGTGTTTGGATTTGTATGTAGCTTATTCTTTCAGTGTCTAATAGAATACTAGTCAAGAACTAGGACACAGCTTTAGTGGCTCATCTTTATTATGGGTTCCTTGAAGTCAGTGCAGTCAATTTTTTATTAATACCTACATGCTGGGTGTAAAATACAAAAATATCTTCTTTTTTTTAACTTCAGGTTTTGATGGGAGACCTGGTGTACCTGGCTTGAAGGGAGAGCGTGGAGTTGATGGCGGACCGGGTTATCCGGGTCCTCCTGGACCTCCAGGAAACCAGACCTATTTCATTCCTGGTCCACCTGGACCTGTGGGCAGGACAGGACAAATGGGTCCTCCAGGTGAGAGACAATATCAACCTTCCATGAAATGTATCTTTTAAAATCTCCCATTAACTTTAAAGGATTCTGGTGTAATTTCTCAATGTGAAGGATTTTTCCCAGGTTAAGTTTTAGGTGGAGTTTGGACTAAAATTTTTGATCTTGGCTAATGTTTTTACCTCTCATCCCTCCAGTTTTTCCAGTGTCCATTCATCCTTCACATTTCTCATCATATTCCTTTTGCATCCTGCATCAGATGGCATGTTGTTGTGTCTTGTGGATTGAAGTTCTCCATCACCCGACAAATCTGTTTTGTGTCTCTCCCTGTTCCATTTTTTTTTTTACCCCTCCTATCCTCCTTCTTTTCCTACATGCACCACCACCATCACCCCCATGCATCCTCTTATCATCTCTCCAAACTTTCCTTCTTGGTGCTGGGTCATTCGATATAGGCTGCCCAGGTGAGATACTCTTTCCTCATCCATCCATCGCCTACTTTTTACTCTATCCTATCCATCCTTTGCTGAAATGTCCGCATGTATCTGCTGCTGGTGCCTTAACCCTAAAACTGCTTTTTCGTTCGTCTGCAGCCCTTATCTCACCATGCAACAAGCAAATGTCCATCTGCACAAACGAGGGAGCCTGGAAGTTTATGTTGGGATTTTGTTTAAGGGAAAAATGACAGAGAAAGAAAGTTTATCAGTTTATTTTGAATGTTTTGTCAAGTAGCATATATTAGGTTGATTGCGCACTTGTGAGAAGAGGCTCGTTTTGAAATCTAAGTGAGACATTGTTGAAGATGGTCTAACATTTACATGAAGTTTATCATAGTTTCTTTCAATTCAGAGTGGTACAGTTACCATGACTTAAGTATGAGGTAGGATAAATGTCAGTGAAAACCCATGCATACTTGTCTTAAATTGTAAATTGAACACATTCGATTTGAAGAAAATGAGGATTTGTATTTTGCTCATTATTTTTTATCACATATACACATGTGACTTAGGGCTGGGCTATATGAGCTCAAATCAATATCACGATAAATTGGGCAGGTTGGATGTGTTATTTTGTGTTATTTTGAGTAGCCCTGACAGTTGTCAGACGAACTTTACATTTCTGTTCTTTTGCTCAGCGTCTATGCCGTAATTTTGGTGCCGCCGTGAGCGTGCAGTGAGAACAATGTGCATTATTTGAACTCGCACACCCTCTCTCAGAACCTGTTTGCCACACGCTCAACTCTGACAACGTGCTCCAGACTTCTCTGCGCGCTCAGCTTCATCGCTGCTCTCACTCGGCTCAACAGGATTAACTGATGTAATTGTATTTACAGCTGTGTTAGACCCTTCTTCACTGGGCTTAACCGCCATTCTCTGTGTTTACGCTTCTGACTGGATCGTGGGAGTCACATGCTTAGACACCTGGTCTTAAAGGGGAAGGAAATACCAGCCACCAGCACACATTCAGTAGCAGCCATTCAAAATGGCCCTTACCAGTCAAAAGCCAGACGAATGACAGCACAATCCCCTCCAACTTCCAGCCACTGGCCTTCTCATGGGCATGCATATTTTTTCATGCTTGCACTGAATTATTGGGTCTGACCAGGAGATAATGCTTCTATTTTGATCTTAATTTCCACAAATCATGACAGAAAGAATATTTTAGATGTTTAAAAATGAATAATAGGGGACCAGCCAAGGACCCATCAAAGAAAGTGGTGATTTTTTTAATGGTAGGCAAAACAGCAAAATTATTTACCAACTTATTTATGGGAAATTTGTGCTGGTTATTGTAGTGAATGATGATAACGGTAAAAAATCTGGTTTATTGTCCAGCCCTAATATGGCTTCAGATGTTACATTTGTAAGACTGCAAACTTAGATGTTAAACATTTGCATGAATCACAGATTTACAGGTACAAATCTAATACCCCAGATGTTGCTGTAACAGTGCTTATCGGCTGGTGGTGGTAATAAACCTGAAAGTTGTTTACTAGCCATCTTTAAATGAAAAGAAGAGGAAGAAAATAAAAGTAGATTTATTGACAGAACTATATACTGCGCAGGAGTTAAAAACTACAATTTAGCACAGCTATAACGTTCAACCAATGGTTTTGGCTTCATCTTTTTCATTTAATTTAATGGCAAATAGCCTTCAGACGCTTTACCACCAACAACTGGTAAGGACGTAACATCTTCTTTCGGAGTTGTAAATTTGTGATTCATACTTTTGCATTTTTGCAAAGGTGTAAGTTATGTCTTTTTTTCTTAACATCTAAATTTGCATTATAATAGATGTAACACCTAATATCACATGTATGTGTAAGTTGATAACGGGGAACAAATAAAAAACTTAAATTTCTTCAGATTTATTGACATCCAGAAATATTTACAGTTATCTTCCCCCATACATAATTAAGTCGGCAAATAAGAGCTTACAAAAGTGAGGCCAATGTAGACAGAAAGATATTAAAGCTTTGGTTACAAAAGAAAACGAGTTCATCCCACTTTACTTAAGAATGTGTTCAGAGTTTTAATTGAAGATGGATATTTTATTTGTGAGAGCTTTTGAGCTTTTCAAATAATCTCTGAAAGTATGCGCTTGCTCTTACAGTTCCAGTGAGATGTTTGCATAAGCTCATCATGAAATTAACTTTAATAGCAACAAGAACTTATTGCTTTGAACCACTTCTTTTATAGTTTTAGAGGAAAAGAAAACAAAATTGATTGATCAAATCTAAATAATTTCTACCCCATGCAGTTTTAGATAGCAAGCTGTTTGTGTCTTTTAGAAAAAAAGACAAAGATTAAGAATTTGCTGGTTAAAAAGGTTCAAATTCATTTGATCTGTTATTCTCATGATGAGTTTATCTAAAGTGAACATAACTGTAAGTGTTGTATTCTTCCTGCCAGTTCTAACCCACATTTCATTTTACATCTAATCAATACCAGATGTTTTTTTTTGTTTGTTTTGTTTTTGTCTGATTTCCCTCAGTAGGTTTTTTTTTACTATGAGTGTTTTTCTCAAACACTGTTTTACCTTCATTGTTGCTATGCTGAGTGTAGAAGCTTTTTAGTTTTTTACACTCTAAAAAAGACTTGTTGTTTTTAGCACATCTAAGCTGATGACTAACGCTGCATTGCAGATGTGCTGAAAATGGGTCCGGTTTATTTTCAGAGTGTGCAGCGATAGTCGTTAGAAGGCTCCCTAACCCAGGCTGGAACTGCATTAAGTTCAAGTACATAATTACTACAGATGCATCCATTGTCCTTTTTTAAAAAAAAAATATGTTTTAAGTTTTACTTTTCAGTTCACATTTCTCTTTAAGAACTGATCTTTTTTTATTTCCTGTTCTTTAGATAGAGAATTGAAAATAATTGATAAAAAATTTAACAAAAATCTATCAAAGGGATATTCTTATTAATGAGAGATATATTTTAAAATTAAAAGATCAACCACTAATCTAGAAAAAAAGCATGAAATTAAAGATTTACCTTTTATGCTATCAGATATTTATTTTCTTTCAAGTGTTTTAAGTTACAAAATTAGAAAATGTAAAAGTAATGTCCCACAATGGAGAAATTCCTCTGCATTTAAACCATCCCCTTGGGGAACAGTCTGGGGTTAGGGGTGCCACTCAGGGACCCACAGTGGCAGTCTGTGGGAATGGGACTTGACCTCAGAACCTCTGAGACCCAAGCTCAAAGCTCTAACCACTAGGCCAACACTCCCCATGAATCAATAATTGTTTACTCTCTTTATAAAAGCACTACATCTCTATTTACATGTTTTAAGAAACAGCATCAGAAAAGTCCGATTCCAGACTCACCTTGTTGAATCCATGCATGCATCTGTAACAATTGTGCACTTGTTTTAATAACTGCTTAACCACTGGAAATCTCTGGATACCAGATGTATCCATGCGAGTCGCATTATGCTTTTGTCTGTGTACGTAGTGCAGCTGCGGCATTATAAAGATAGTAGAAAAAAAAACAATGTAAGCCAAAGCAAATTACATTGTTTTCAGCAATCTGTCAGCCTGTCAATGAGTGTTTTCATGTCAAAACACCATTATTTTTGTTGTATTTCTTTATGAAAATAAATGTTATGTTGGGGGTAAGTTGATCTATTCTGGAGAAGGTAAGAGTTTTACTTCTTTGGATTAATTTGTTCCACCTCTAAATAAATTAAGTATATTTTACCCTCATGCCTTTATTAATTTCTTGGAATTTTAATGAAGTTGAGCTAATTATTGCTCCTACAAAAATCTCCGCCATCATCAGGTTACCGTGGTCAAAAGGGGATAAGAGGAGAACCAGGATTCCAGGGGCCTGCTGGAATGAAAGGAACCCCAGGACCTTCTGGCACTCCTGGATTACAAGGGCCAAGAGGACCCCCCGGACCACCAGGACCCGGAACCATCGACGGACTCCCAGGAATACCAGGAAGAAAGGGTAGGGAATTAAGGATCTGTCTGCTGTCCAGTTCTTTGTTTTTGTGGTTCAAATTTACTTAAGAGTAGGGCTGCAACTAACGATTGTTTTGCTAATTGATTAATCTGTCAATTAATCGATTAATAATTGGATAGCCGCATGGTTCTTAAAGATTATTTTACAAAAATAAACTGGGCAAAACTAAAACTTTTCCAATCAAGGAGTTCTGGATAGAGCATATTAACAGATGAAACATTTTTTAATCTTAAATGCTAAATGTTTACAATTTTTTTTACAATGATGATATAATTACTGCACTAAATGGGTTGCTCCGTCAGCTAAAGGCATATTTTACAGACTCTATACTAATTGACTATTATTTCAACAATCGATTCATGACGATTATTCAGATTCTTTCAGTCCTACTTAAGAGTATTTCTAATCTGCAGGTGAAAGAGGCTCAGCTGGACCAACTGGTTTCCCTGGACTACCAGGTCGTTTTGGAAATCCTGGATTTCCTGGTGGGAAAGGATTTCCAGGTGACCCTGGGAGAGATGGATTCCCTGGTAATCCTGGTCTGATTGGAATGAGAGGTAATCTTCAGAGTGCTGGATTGGTATAGGTTCTCATTGGCTTAAAAGTCAGTGCATAATCTTACATTATGAAGATGAAAAAACAGTAGGCAGCAAGTAAATACCCCAACAATGTTCATTCCTTTGAAGGTGACCGAGGAGACACTGGCGACCCTGGTCTTCCAGGTCCTACTCCTATTTTGAGAAAAGGTCCTAGAGGTGACCCCGGACAGCCCGGCTCTCAGGGCTTCACTGGTGCCAGAGGTAGAATAAAATACCCTATTTTCTTCTTTCATATATATATATATATATATATATATTAGAAATAATACTATTACTGCTTTAACAGAACATCTCTGCATATTGCAAAACATGTTTCCTTTGTGACCATTATTAGGAAATGGAAACATTTCTAACAGATTTACATTCTCTGAAAAGACAACCTAGGCTAGACCAAAGTTTTATTTTTTTTTTCTTTGTTAGATTGTTACAATATTATTTCCAACTCCACAAGAAAAATACCATGAATTATGTTCCCTCCAATGGCACAGTGTTTGGAATGCTTTTTTTTTTTTATAGTTACCGGTAATTACTATATGACCAACTTTGCAGTAACAATTTAGCCTTTGTTTAGAGAAATATATTATTTAAGTGTAACTTCTCTGATTTTCAAAGCAAAAGAATACAGGATCCCACCCTCAATCCCCACACATAAAAAAATCATAACTCTTTTAATATTTAACTTGAGCAGTCAAATTTATAATAAATATACTGTTTAGTAGTGTCAAACATTCCATTACACAGAAATTTCCCTTTTTTCTGTCACATGGATGTGTTTGTGTTTTGCTTTTTGTATATGGAAGGCTAACGGTAGGAACTAAGATATCAAATAAAGCAATAGATAAAAATACAACAAGTACAAATTTGACATAAGCCACTAAAGGAAACTCCACAAAATATGAACATCAGAGCAGAAAGGCGAGACCTAAATGTGTGAGAGAATCAGATGGGACAATATGGGGTGCCACCAGAGACATGAATAGAAATTAACTTCCATATAAACATATCAAATTAAACTCTTCCATATAATATACTGAAAAACCTGCATAAACACTAGTGAAAAGCTCTCACATAAATTAGTAAAAACATTTACCTCTTATATAACCTACTCAAAAGCGCTCATACAAAGTAGTGAGAACTGTTAATTTAAACTGGTGAAAAGCTTTACCTTTCATACATACTACTGAAAAGCTTTCATACAAACTACTGAAAAGCCTTCATACTGAAAAGATTTCATATATACTACTAAAAAGATTTCATATACACTACTAAAAAGCTTTCATACATACTACTGAAAAGCTTTCATACATACTTATAAAAAGCCTTTATGTACACAACTAAAAAGCTTTCATACACATTAATAAAAAGCCTTTATGTACACTACTAAAAAGCTTTCATACATACTAGTGAAAAGCTTTCATATACACTACTGAAAAGCTTTCATACTTACTACTGAAAAGCTTTCATATACACCACTAAAAATATTTTTTACATACTACTGAAAAGCTTTCATATACACTACTGAAAAGCTTTCATACTTACTACTGAAAAGCTTTAATATACACCACTAAAAATATTTCATACATACTACTGAAAAGCTTTCATTTACACTACTGAAAAGCTTTCATTTACACTACTGAAAAGCTTTCATATACACTACTGAAAAGCTTTCATACTTACTACTGAAAAGCTTTAATATACACCACTAAAAATATTTCATACATACTACTGAAAAGCTTTCATTTACACTACTGAAAAGCTTTCATACATACTACTGAAAAGCTTTCATATACACTACTGAAAAGCTTTCATACATACTACTGAAAAGCTTTCATATACACTACTGAAAAACTTTCATACATACTACTGAAAAGCTTTCATATACACTACTGAAAAGCAATTATACATACTACTGAAAAGCTTTCATATACACTATTGAAAAGCTTTCATATGCACTACTAAAAACTTTTTTCAGTATATTATATGGAAGAGTTTAATTCAGTATGTGTATATGGAAGTTAATTCAAATAGTTTTCCCTGGGGGCACCTCAGAGGACAACACCCAGTGGATATGACTGGATCTATAGTATAAATTTTGCCAAAAATTTTAACTTTTTTTTCTTTTTGGTCTAATTTGTACCAAAATTGGAATGTTATTTCCTCTGCACTAACAACAAGATACAAAAAGGGCCTATATTCATACATTTTTATGTATATTAAAACGTTTTTATTGAAAAATAAGTTTTCCCTTATTGATTATAAACTGCAGTGTGAAGATGGCAAACAGGCCTTTGTGTTATAATAATGACAAATAATTTCACTGTTAAAACATCTGTTTATGATAGTAATATTACCGCAGACTACAAACAGCTGCCTTTTTTACAGTAAAAGTATTACAAGACAGCGGAAGCTTTCCTCGATTGATTCCAGTGTTTCATTGTGTTTGTTGCCTTTAATGTTGTTCATCATTTCAAGACTCTCTCCTTCCCTTCTGTAAAGAGGTAGACCTAATTAAGTTGTGCCTATTGTCACCTTCAGGACTGGAGTGAGAAACTATATGTCTTCCAAAAATGTGTGAATTGTTTTTGTTTTATTTTAAACGCAGTTATATTGTTAATGCAATTAATATTCCAGCCCTAATCTATGGAGAACATGGGTCCATACAGGTGGTTTCTTGGGTGGGTTAAAGCTTGTAAACATTAACAAAACACTAAAAGAGTTTTGTAACTTTTTATATGGTAGTTTACATAAATGTGATCCCACCTTGTTGGGTTTGTAGGTGAAAAGGGTCTTCCTGGTCTGCCTGGTCGTCAAGGCTCACCTGGTCGCCCTGGCTTCCCTGTGGATAGCAAAGGCCAACCCGGACAGCCAGGGTTCCCTGGGCAGCCCGGCACACCTGGCTTCCCTGGACCAAAGGGAGAAGGGGGAGTAATGGGATTCCCCGGCATACCTGGACAGAGAGTGAGAAAAAAACGCTTTTCTCAGTCATGTCAAAAATACTGCATGGCCAGTGGGTGGAACTGAAGTTCTGACTGCTTTCTCAGGGTGATGATGGCCCGCCTGGATTTCCTGGGAATCCTGGAGAATTCGGTCGAGCCGGACCTAAAGGTGACTTTTCTTTATTCCACACTTAAGTCTTGCTCATTAAAGCTGGTGTTAGGTAATTCACCTGTTGTTTCTCAGGTCTACCCGGAGAAACATTTGGCTATCCTGGAGCACCAGGACTGAAAGGCCAGCCAGGAGATCCAGGTTTCCCAGGTAGGATTTGCTTTTTTAATGTAAGGCTTGTATTAGATGTTGTTTCTCAGTTTTCTCAATTACAGGTTTGAATAAACAATAAACCATGTCCTGGATCCAGTGCAGGTATTTTACAAAACCAAACCCGGATCGCCCATTTTTGGCTACCTTCACACTGCAGCCTGAAGTGACCCAAATTAGACTTTTTTTTGCCCATATGCGACATGTATCTGAACTTTTAAGGGCAGCCTGAACAAAACAGATCCATTTTTTTTACAATGCGATCCGGGCGACTTGGCTATGAACTCCTGAAGTCGATACGAATCTGATCTTTTCAAATGCGACCTGCGTCTGAACGGCCAGGTTGCATTTATCTGACCTAAATGTCTTTAATACTCACTTTTCAGCCTCTTGCTATGTAGAAGCGGAAAGAAAAACCACAATTATGGCAGACGATGATGTGTAGAGCAGTCATTTTTTTAACCATCTTGAAAAGATTGTGTTTTTAAGGTTGGGAAATATCGCTAGGTGTGCTCCGGCACTACCATGTATACTTCCATTAACACATAGCACGCTTGCTTGTGACATCATTGCGTCCTCTACTGTGCATGCGAGACACTTGCATTGTCTGTCTGTAGTTTACACAAGAAATCACATACAAGTTGCATATATTTGTAAATGTGAACAGCAACGCAAAAGAAATCGGATTTCACAAAAAATCGGAATTGAGCACTGTGAACTTAGCCAATTATCAGAGTAAAATATATTCAAAGTTTGGCATCATTAGAAGAAACTGAAAGGTTGGAAATTGAGGATATCCAACCATAGTAATCTCTGAGCTGTAATAAAAAATAACTTAACCTGTTTAAACATACATGATGTCACAGTTTATATAAACGGTCCACACTTTAATCCTCTGCATTGTATTGGAAGTTAGGGTTACCATAAATCAAGGCAGTCAATCACACTGTCCTTTAATTGGACATGAAATCTGTGATCTCCTGTTGTTGGCTTGTCCTTTTTGTGTAACAGAAGTCTAACATATTTGTAGGCTCTCGAGGAAATGATGGTGTCCCCGGTGACAGGGGCTTTCCAGGAAGCAGAGGGTTCGATGGACTAAAGGGTCTTCCTGGTGACACAGGACGGCCTGGAACAACAGGTGAGGGATGGACCCCAAAGACAAAGCTAATAACAGATGATTTAATGTTTGTTTGCTTTTTTTCCCTCCAGGCCCACCTGGTTTTCCTGGATTAAAGGGTCTTGATGGACTTCCTGGAAGGAGAGGGATAGACGGGCCCCCGGGTCTACCTGGAGTTCCTGGTACTATCGGTCTTCAAGGTGAGATAAAAACATGAATATATATTTTATTTTTTTTATCCTGTTAAAGTGGCTCTTACAACTTTGCATTATTTTCAGGTTTACCTGGAGCTCCTGGGCTGGATGGACTTAATGGCCTTGCTGGTCCAAAGGGCCTCCCTGGAAACCCAGGCGAGAACCATGTTGAACACTTGATCTGTTGCTTTATAACTGACTGAATATTAAAGAAAACTTTAAGGAGTGAAAAACTTAAGTGAAACATTTCTCAAAGAAATTACAAGCAAATTATTGCTCAAAATGTACAAAGCAGCAGTGAAACCCATGATAACTTTTGTAATCTTTATATCCTAAATTGTTTCTATCCAGGTACGGTTATAGGGGGTGGACCTGGCAGGCCCGGTGATAGAGGATTGAAAGGAGAGAGAGGTGTTTCCTTCCCTGGACAACCAGGTCTTCCTGGACAAAAGGGACAGAGAGGAGATACAGGTGACTTTCAGATAGGGAAAAATAAGAAGTTTAATCAAATCTAGGACAACAGAAGGGCAATGGCTGTTGTTGTTTTGTGTATCAGGGCCCTTTGGGCTGCCAGGGTTCCCTGGACGACCTGGACTTCCTGGTAGGGATGCAGTGCCAAATGTTCCTGGGCCTGTGGGAGACCCCGGACTTCCTGGATTGGATGGAGAATATGGTACCAGCAATTCTTTCATCCTTTTATCTTGCTGTTTTTCCAGCTCTATTTCCCCCATTAACCATGTTGTCTTTTCCATTCTAGGTTTCCAAGGTCCACCTGGTCCTCCTGGACCTCCGGGTCCAGGCACCACTCAGGGAGACACAGGGGACTCAGGACTCCCAGGTTTCCCAGGACCTCCTGGCAGAAAGGGAGAGCCAGGGTATCCTGGAGGTCCTGGATTCCCTGGTAGCCCTGGTCCAAAAGGTAAAGTGGGGCATGAAAATATTTCATGATCCTAAAATGCAACTGCTGTAGTTTTAGTTTTTCTTCACAAAGCAAATGTTTATTCTTGGTAAAATGACTGTATTAGACGTTGCTTATTATAATATATTACTATAAATGTATGGATTATGTTGTCTTTGAGCCTTTGAGACTCTTGATAATGGCTTCTCCTCGCTGCCTCACCGAAGGTCCTGACCTTGTTGTCTTGGCTATCACAAAAATGGCCACATCATTCCATATTTGGGATTAATGCATTTTAATAACCATGTTCAGAGGAAATCTACCTGAAGGAGGCAGACTCTGGCAGAAAAGTTCTCTATCCAACACAACATATAGTCAGCTGGAAGGTTCTGCTTTTCAGGAGTTCAAGGTGAAACAGGACGGAACGGGGGTCCAGGTCAGAAAGGTAACCGCGGCGAAGCTGGTTTCTTTGGAACCAAAGGGCGTCCAGGATCACCCGGTAGGTGGCTTCTTAAAGAGTTTTGCCTCCTCATTGCAGGATAATGTCCCCGTCTCTGTACCCCTACCACCATCAGGTTCATCACTTCTGCTCATTCCTTCTTTTCAGGGCGACCTGGACGTAAAGGTGCTCCTGGGACCTTGTTGCCAATTGATCCTGTAGACAGACCAATTCCTGGAGACCCTGGATACCCAGGAGACATTGGAGGACCTGGATTTACTGGAGAGCAGGGGCGGGATGGTGCCCCTGGACGTCCAGGTTAGTGAGATCTGCTTTTTCCTTAGAGAGACATCATTCCACCCACCTGCATGAGGGGGTGGAATGATGGAAACACAATGTTTGCTGTGAAAACATTTGTATTTCTTAGATCCTTCCAAGCACAATTGCTGATTGTAGCATGAGCACAAAGATCAAAGGAACCGCCAAAGCTCCACAATTTCAGAAGCCTGAAAGCAAGTTCATTGGTGATTATATCTTTGTATGAACACTCTGCCATAAACAACGGGGTGAGAACGCAGAACTTAAGAAACAAGCAGAAGCTACGAACCTTTGTTTGGCTGAGATGCAGGCTGAAATAGAAAAACCTCAGCCAGCAGCTTCAAACCATATGCAGAGCCAATGCTGAAAACTTTGGGTCTGGTTATATACCCAATGGTTTCCAGCAGGACAGAACAGATTTTTAGGCAGTTTGCAGGGAAAACCGGTTTCTGAATGGATTTGCAGAAGGTTTAAGAATAAGAGGTCCTGAACTCTTATCAGAGAGGTACATACTCATGAGAAAAGACACAAGTGGGATTCAAACTAAGGAATCTGCCATCACACAGAACAATTCAATCAAACTCACTTAGTGGAAAAGAAAGAATTTAAAATCCTTGAAAATAAAGCATTGATGGAGGAGAAACTCACCTTGGAAGCTCCAAGAGAGGAGCCATAGATGGAGAAAAAGGGGATTGATCAGGATTGATCAGGGGATAGCAGCTTCAGTAGGGGGGCCCAGGAATCCCTCTCCCCATCCACTTGGGCCAGCTCCCCCAGGGGAATCCCAAGGCATTCCCAGGCTAGCTGAGAAACATAGTCCCTTCAGTGTGTCCTGAGTCTCCTCCTGGGTCTCCTCCCGGCATCCTTAACAGATACCCGAGCCACCTCGGGCATCTCGTTCTTTCGGTCATGACCATAGATGAGGGTAGGAACGTAGATCAACCGGTAAACCAAGAGCTTTGCCTTTTGGCTCAGCTCTCTCATCACCACTATGGACCGGTACAGCACCCACTTTACACTGTCGATCTCCCACTTCATCTTCCCCTCATTCGAGAACAAAACCCCAAAATACTTAAGTCCTCCACTAGGGGCAGTACATCCTCCCTAACCCGGAGAAGGTACTCTACCTTTTTCCAGCTCAAGACCATGGTTTCGGATTTGGAGGCACTGATCCTCATCCCGGCAGCTTCCCACTCAGCTGCGAACCGCTTCAGTGAGAGCTGTAGATCACACCCTGGTGAAGCCAATAGAACCACGTCATATGTAAATTACAGAGACTCGATCCTAAGGCTACCAAAATGGATCCCCTCAACACATTGGTTACGCCTATAAATTCTATCCATAAAAGTTATGAACAGAATCTATGATATAGGGCAACCTTGCCATAGTCCAACCCTCAACGGAAATGAGTCTGACTTACTCCCGGCAATGTGGACCAGGCTCGAACACTGGTCATACAGAGACCTAACAGCCCATACATATACAGTATTAAAGGGCCGGGTTCTCCATACTCCCGGACTACCCTCCAAAGAACCCCCCAAGGGACACGGTCGAATGCCTTCTCCAGATTCACAAAACACTTGTAGACTGGCTGGGCAAACTCCCATGCAGGATCCTGCTGAGGGTATAGAGCTTAAAAATATAATTTAATATATAATATACTGTAGTAATTGACAGAATACATTTTTCTTGCACCTCTTTTGTGCGACAGTTTGTTCAAGAACTTTGCACCCCTCTACCCCTGCTGATTTTTATAAGATTATATATTATATTATATTCATTTATGTTATATTTGAGAGCAGGCAGACAGGAAATGGGATCAAGGAGAGACGGGGTAGATATGCAGCCAAGGTCACCAGGCCAAGACTTAAACCTGTGACAGCCACAAGGACCAAAGCCTCCGTGCATGGGCTTAACCCCCATGACCACTGCACCACCCCTGAGTTGTGCACACTGATCTGCTTCTATAGTTTGACTCCTTTTACTAAATAGGAGGCCTCTGAAAACCTGTGGCTGCAGCAGATTTAGGGGTGTCAGAGTAAAGGCTGATGAAATGCACACTGTCAATATTTAGACTTATTTTTGCAACAGAGCTTGAAATTTGTGCTGGTCTAACGCACAAAATCTTAGTAAAATGAATTTGTGCTTGTGTTTGTTATATGAAAAAAAAAATGTTAGAGGGGTGTGAATACTTTTGCGACGTACTGTCATTTAGTAGAAGTGGCATAACTAGTCTTGTTTACATCAGCATGTACATGAAGATGCATATGTTTAAACTAGTGCTGTCAAAATTATCACGTTATTATCGCGTTAACGCGAGGCCATTTTAATGGCGATAATTTTTTTTACGTGAGATTAACGCTATGTGGTTTTATGGTACAATTTTCCAAGTACATCCCGCTGCAGCCTGCGAGAAGGCGGGGCTATTTCCCCCCAGTGTATGCATTTTCCATAGGCTTCGAGAGCGGAGCTCCTCAAGGAAAAAAGACGCTCATACACTGGGTAGCGCTAGTGCCTTTTCTTTAAGCCCCACCACCAACAAACAAGTTGAGTGTCTGGTGCCTAGTAGCAACCTGAAATACGCTGAGAAAACAGATTACTGAGGTGAAATGGAATCTGCTACGGCACTATTGCTGTATGTGTACGCCACAGGTTGGTATCGTGTGTCTGTGTGTGTGTGGGTTGGTGTGTCTGTGTGTGGGTGGGTGGGTGTGTGTGTGTTCTCATTTTTGTTAAGAGGCTGAAAAGTAACTTTCTAGAGCATAGACTACCTCCATCTAGTGATGTCGGTCTATTGATTTTGATGTATTGATTGAAAATTGTTCATTATTATCTTGGTTAATTAACATCTAATGTTAACTGTACTACATTTTATAGCAGTAGGGTAAAATGCTTGTCTTTGTTCAAAAGACTGTATTAACTGTAAAGACTGTCTTTTACATCAGCCTGTTTTCAGGGCCTTTTTTTTGGCTACATATTTGTTATTTTTTGCTACATGCCTCCCCATCCTCCTGCCATATGTTTCTATGGCATAAATCAGTGTCTGTGACCTGTTTTCATTTAAAAAAAAGAACATTGGCACAAACCTAGCCTGTATGTATTTTTTGTATGTCATCGAGAGTATTTAAATGATTTTCAATCAGAAAAAAAATTTGCGATTAAAATGCGATTAATCGCGAGTTAACTTAGGCATTGATGCGATTAATCGCGATTAAAAAAATTTAATCGATTGACAGCACTAGTTTAAACTGAATATATGTTCTGTTGTAGGTCCAAAGGGTCGTCCCGGCCCCCAGGGCAACCTCGGCAGGACTGGATCACCCGGCTTTCTTGGGCCAATCGGGGATCCAGGCTCCCCTGGTTTCCCAGGACTCAATGGAGATCAAGGTCAGTTTGTTTTGTTGATCTTCGCTACAAATTTTTTTTTTTTTTTGGAAGACTTGTTATTAAATGTAGCTTAACATCTGTCACGTACCCGGCCTTGGTATAGGAGATTTAAGGGACAAGCATAAATTTACACAATGAGTCAAGGAGTCAATAGGGCTTTCAAAGAGGTTTATTCTGCCATCTTTTTAAAGAAACTTTCTGTAAAGAGTGGTAAACGCTTCAGGGAGAGCTCAGGCCAAAATAACAAGCAAAACAACCATAAAAGACGAAGAAAATTGGACTTACTTAATTCAAAGTAAAATCAAAATATACAAGCCTACAAAATAACCTCCCTAGCAAGCACATAAACAGGAGAAAACTGGGATTAAACAAAAGGCAGCTCTCTCCTAAATGCACAAACAACCACAGAGCTATATGGCAGACCAATAGAGCCTGAAGTACTCCTTCACAGGCCTAAGATGCAGATGATTGCTGATTGGGCCGAGACTCAGGAAGCAGCACCTAATCTTGGGGATGTAACACGCACATCTTTCCCAATTTATTTTGCAGTCATGAGAAATGAAAACCGTAAACACAAATACAGCAATAAAAAATAAATAAAAAAATCAATTAATTTTTACAGATGTGGTTTGATTTGTTTGAAGCCATAAAATTTGCTCATAGTAGAGGTTTTAGTTAAGTAGGTATGGTATTCCAGATCTGCAATTAAATGTTTTGCTGATATTGTGCAGCCCTATTTCCTACTCCTGCTGCTGCAGCTATAATCTTGGTGGAGGCCTAAACTCAACATGGAAAAGGCTTCTTTAGAACCACCAATACATGATGCAAATATATTTTTTGCTTTTTTTAAAACATGTTTTATAGACTTAGACTCAACTTTATTTATCACTTGGGATTACTCCTTTAGGGAATTTCTGGTTCCATTATCTTATATAGAGTATAGAGAGTTAAAGCAAGATGCCATTAAAAGATAAAAAATACCACAGACAATATAAAAAGAGTGTATATAGTACACAAAGCATAAAAATAAAGTTCTAATGTCCTGGAATAGTTTTGCTTAGATATAAAAATATCAGCACAGTAGAGAGCTAAGAAAGTACAACAGAGTATTAGGGCCAGGCTAGAGATTTTTCTATTTCGAGAATTAAGTCGTAACTTTATGAGAATAAAATCGTAATATTAACGTACAAGAAAAAAGTCATAATGAGAATAGTCATAACATTACGAGAATAAAGTCATAAAATGATGAGATTAAACTGATAAAATTATGAGAATCTAGTTGTATTTTATGACGACTCTTGTAAGAAGCACTGTCTTCCCTAAAATTATGTGAAGTTATACTTTGGCATCAGTTCGACAAAAAAGGAAATCTTTTAGCACCAGCATCAAATTGGGCAGTATGTCAAAGCTGACTCAGGTTGCTGTTTGGTGGTGCTGGTCGGTCGCATATGCTGGTCGGAGTTCGAAGCTTTCTTTCTGAAACGGGTTGTTGTATGATGACTTCATTCTTGTAATATTACAACTTTATTCTCGTAATGTTACGACTTTATTCTCCAAATAAAAAAATTTTTTTTAATCTCTAGCAAACTGATAACACTCCCTAATACTAATCCCGTAACACTCCCTAATCCTAATCCCTAATACTCCCTAAAACTACACAGTAGTTGACTTGGATTATTGCACTTGTACTGCAAATATGTACTGGCCTTATAAATGAGAAAAAAAAATTAGACAGGCCTTCCACTTCCTTCCACTCAGAGAAACAGCAGGATTAAACATACTTCATAGAGAAACTTTGCTACTATATGATCACATTTCTCCTCATCAGGTCGCCCTGGCGCCGTTGGTCTTCCCGGTATCCCTGGTGGCATCGGCCGTAGTGTCAGCCTTGGCTACACTCTGGTAAAACACAGCCAGTCCTCCGAGGTTCCCATGTGTCCCCAAGGCATGGACAGACTCTGGGAAGGGTACAGCCTGCTGTATGTAGAGGGCCAGGAGAAGGCACACAACCAAGACCTCGGTGCGGAAACACTCACTTTCTCACTTACGTTTGAAGTACCCATCCTTGTTCATGTTCCTACACATAGATTTGTTGAGTGTACATAATCTCTAGGTCTTGTCTTAAATACACTATATTGCCAAAAGTATTTGCTCACCTGCCTTGACTCACATATGAGCTTAAGTGACATCCCGTTCCTAATCCATAGGGTTCAATATGACGTCGGTCCACCCTTTGCAGCTAGAACAGCTTCAACTCTTCTGGGAAGGCTGCCCACAAGGTTTAGGAGTGTGTTTATGGGAATTTTTGACCATTCTTCCAGAAGCGCATTTGTGAGGTCGCACACTGATGTTGGACGAGAAGGCCTGGCTCTCAGTCTCCGCTCTAATTCATCCCAAAGGTGTTCTATCGGGTTGAGGTCAGGACTCTGTGCAGGCCAGTCAAGTTCATCCACACCAGACTCTGTCATCCATGTCTTTATGGACCTTGCTTTGTGCACTGGTGCACAGTCATGTTGGAAGAGGAAGGGGCCAGCTCCAAACTGTTCCCACAAAGTTGGGAGCATGGAATTGTCCAAAATGTCTTGGTATGCTGAAGCATTCAGAGTTCCTTTCACTGGAACTAAGGGGCCAAGCCCAGCTCCTGAAAAACAACCTCACACCATAATCCCCCCTCCACCAAACTTTACACTTGGCACAATGCAGTCAGACAAGTACCGTTCTCCTGGCAACCGCCAAACCCAGACCCGTCCATCAGATTGCCAGATGGAGAAGCGCGATTCGTCACTCCAGAGAACGCGTCTCCACTGCTCTAGAGTCCAGTGGCGGCGTGCTTTACACCACCGCATCCGACGCTTTGCATTGCACTTGGTGATGTATGGCTTGGATGCAGCTGCTCGACCATGGAAACCCATTCCATGAAGCTCTCTGCGCACTGTTCTTGAGCTAATCTGAAGGCCACATGAAGTTTGGAGGTCTGTAGTGATTGACTCTGCAGAAAGTTGGCGACCTCTTCGCACTATGCGCGTCAGCATCCGCTGACCCCGCTCCGTCAGTTTACGTGGCCTACCTCTTCGTGGCTGAGTTGCTGTCGTTCCCAAACACTTCCATTTTCTTATAATACAGCTGACAGTTGACTGTGGAATATTTAGGAGCGAGGAAATTTCACGACTGGATTTGTTGCACAGGTGGCATCCTATCACAGTTCCACGCTGGAATTCACTGAGCTCCTGAGAGCGACCCATTCTTTCACAAATGTTTGTAAAAACAGTCTGCATGCCTAGGTGCTTGAATTTATACACCTGTGGCCATGGAAGTGATTGGAACACCTGATTCCAATAATTTGGATGGGTGAGCAAATACTTTTGGCAATATAGTGTATTTAAGGTGATATTTTAACCAATTCAGATCTGTTATTATAATAAAACTCTGGTTATATCATCATCAACCGACTAAGCGAGACCTCTCCATTCCTCTCCAGGTCAGCCGGGTTCATGCCTCCCCAGATTCAGCACCATCCCCTTCCTCTACTGTAACCCATTTGAAACCTGCTACTTTGCCAGCCGCAATGACAAATCCTACTGGCTCTCTACTTCCGCGCCCATTCCCATGATGCCTGTGGCAGAGCAGCAGATTCAGCCATACATCAGCAGGTAGTGCCCCCTACCAGAGCTCCTGTGTTACTATACATAAAACTAAAACTCTGGCCGTTTAATTGATTCATCTTTTTTTGTTTTCGTTTGAACCATCCAGGTGTGCAGTGTGCGAGGCTCCATCTCAGGCAGTGGCAGTCCACAGCCAGGATCAGAGCATCCCTACCTGTCCCCGCGGCTGGAGGAGTCTTTGGATCGGATACTCCTTCCTCATGGTAGGTCATTAACTACTGAGGTGAACTTTATTGATTGGAGGACTTGAATCAAAGGTTGTCCAGGAGCTGATGGAGATGCTTTAAGAACCCATATATGTTAAACCACCTTCACTCTCAGTTAAATTTTAACTCTTTATAGCTATTTCACATATTCTACAGAGTTAACATGGTTTTACAAAATTTCCTTTGGCCACCCCTACCAGGGGATTTATTGTTCCCCTTGGGATTTAATCAAATACTCCTGGAACAAGTAGTTCTCCTCCAAGCCTGATGGTGGCAGCAGTGATACCATAATGTTGAATTTCCTATTTGGACATTTTAAAGCTTGTATATTAACCAAAAATGTTGCAAAAATGTTACGAAATTAAAAGGATTAAGACAGAACATTTGATCTTTTGTTAGATTTTATAGGGGTGAGTTTGTCTTTGCAGTTACCTAAGAGTCTGATCAAAAGAACATTACTAAATGCATTTAATATATAGAACCATAATTTCACAACAGCACTAATGTATAAATATGTGCATAGCTTTATCAGCAAGGACCTTAATGGTAATCTGGTCCATCTTCAGTGATTTATTTGAAAAAATATATTTGCTGTGCCGGTTCATTTTCCTTCTGGTTTAATTTGATCAGTATAGATTAACCATAAGATGTTTTTGGCGCCTATCAGTTCTTAGCCACCCCTCTGTGCACATTGGCCCCTGCCTGACCATCCCTATGAACATTTTCTGGTCAGGCACCATGCTAATGTGGCCACCTCTGGAAATCACTGGGATATGTTTTGTGAGGGCTCCTCTCAGGGTTAAACCAATGATCTCTGTCATTACCCGATCCGTACCGGATGCACGATCCGTACCATCAGCTCATTTGCGCGTGCGCAAACAGAATAACTTCCGGTGGCAATATTTCCTTTTTCTTACTTTTTTATTCTTTTGTATTTTTTAGAGGCATGGGTTTCTTTTTGTATATCTTTGTATTTTCGTCAATATTGCATTTTCTAAAAATAAAAAAACAGAAATACATAAAAAAGTTCAATCGCCTTGTGATAGTTACTTTGACTGCTCTGAGCATGCGCAAATATACGTCACACAGCGTATATATTTAAATTTGTTTAAATATTTGATTTACTCTGTACTTAACTATGCACTCCAGCAGTACTGATCCCACAATGGATTCATTTGCTACCTTTCGTGACCTGCAGTTTTTCATTGATAAGGGAACATTTCCCGAAAATTTGTTTTTATAAAATAAAAAGGATGTCTCCACATTTTCAAGTTAAAGGTAAGAAAATTAGGGCGTGCTCATGTTGTAGCGAACAGCGTGACTCATTTTTGGAGTATTCTTTAATTATTTAAGGATATAAATAAAGTTTTTTCAGTACCGTAATTACATTATTTTTTGGCGACCCGGAAGTTATTCTGTTTGCGCAGGCGCAAATGAGCTGATGGTACGGATCGTGCTACCGGTACGGATCGGGTAGTGACAATCTCTATTTATTCACTGGATAAATGATGGCCTGAAAAAAGGTACTTCCCGCTCCCACGGAGATGCACTGTAAAAAAAATCTGTGCAGCATTTGACTGCAAAAACAAGCATTTTGCCAGCTGTGCGAAGATGTTACGTAATTTTACAGTCAGTGGATGAACTAACCAAGAAAATCCATATATACGACAATGTATCCCATATTATAGTATGTAGCGTAACATTAGTCTGGCTATCTCACACTGATTCGAAGATATTGACTGTGGTAGCCATTGACATTGTGTCAAATGTTAGAAAATAGCAAGTGGTTTATTAAATGGATGCCGCTTTCGTTTTTGTAGTGTTTGGAATAATTCTCATTTGAAAAAGTCATGTGCTGAAATATATTGCATGTTATGTTGATGGAAAAAAGCAACTATAGCATTAAAAGACATGTACTTGTAATTCAGTAAAATCTTATAATCATATGTAATATCTAATACATGTATATTACATGTACATCATCAATTTAGCACTTTTGCACATCTGTATTATTATGCTCTGTTAACATTAATTTTATGTAATGGATCTGTATATTATGTTATATTACATGAATAATAGGCTTCATTGACTTCATAAGGACTTTGATGTGCCTATTTTTTTATTATAAATTAAAGTAATCTACTAATGCTATGAAACACCAAGAGTAAGTAATGAATTCATCTTTATTCTAAAATTCCCAGGGAAATGAGAAAATCATCGTAATTCGATGCTTTAGAGAACGTATTGTTTACATTGCAACCGGTCTAACTAGGGAGTACCAATATGGCGGCTGGTGGTTTTATTTCAACCCCATACGACCAATGGGCTATCAGCAATCCAGTGAATAAATAGAGATCAGTGGGATAAACCTGAAAGTTACAGGTCCACCCCCTAGAGTAATAAGAAACAAAAAGCTTTAAAAAAGTCAATTTCATTTTAATTTAAAGGAACAATTGGCAATTTTTCCCAATTAGGTGGAACTTGAGCACTGTTTGTAGACAAAATCAAGTTTTGCATCAAACCACGTCTCTTTCTACCTCCACTCTGGCAGCAACCCTTTGCCAATTTTTACCCCCCCTTCTCAGCCATCTGCCTCTATAAGGATATTAGCAAAGGATAAATACAGGGCATAATAGCATTACTTTTTAGAGGAGCATGTCTAGTGAAGAAGTAACTCATAACTTTATAATGACGTTAGCAAGAGAAGGGTTCAATCCACTGGGCGTGATCTCCAGCATTTTGTGCCTGGTGGCATTTTATGGGCAAGGAGGGGCAAGTACATGAATTCACGGCCAGTAAATAAGAGAATATAGTATAACACAGAGAGATGCTGTGTGACATCAAACCATAACCCTAACACTTTCATTCTTCACATAACTATTTGTAGTCTTTTTTATCAAAAATAATGAAATTTAGCTTTCCTATTTAGCTCCTATTTTAGTTTGTGAAACAATTTGCTAAATTAATTACAATATTTACCCTTAGGTTTTTTTCTAATAGTATTATTTAATACAGGCATCCCCAAACCCGGTCCTTAAGGCCCCCTGTCCTGCAGGTTTTAGAGGTTCCACTGCTCCAGCACAGCTGATTTTAATTGAAAGCTGATTAACAGGCTTTTGGTCTACTGCAATCATTATAACCAGCTGTGCTGAAGCGGAGAAACCTGCAGGACAGGGGGCCTTGAGGACCGACTTTGGGGATGCCTGATTTAATATATTCCATATGTTTTTTTATGATATCTTTTATAAAAAATATGCACCCTAAATAAAAGCATAACACCTCTTTTAAATGTGGCAAATGACACAATGGGGTTCCCTATAAAGTACCTCTATCCTTTGGAAGGAGAGCTGCAGATTTAAGGTAAATGTGGTTCTTTTGCATCCATGGAGAAACGGAAATGGGTGATAACTCGTTAAATTTTTCAAATAACTTTAAGAAAATATATATTTAGTATAATTTCTCGCTCCTCTACTCATCTATAGTAGAATCTTGTCCTGATAGGCTCTTTGTGAGATCCTGAAGAGATTTCTGTATATTTTTAGTTGTCGTTGCTCATAGATGTCCCTCCATTGTCACTGCAGCACACAGCGGCGGGAGGTGAGGGCGGCGGCCAGTCCCTGATGTCTCCCGGATCCTGCCTGGAAGACTTCCGAGCGACCCCGTTCATCGAGTGCAACGGAGCCAAGGGCACCTGCCACTACTTCGCCAACAAATACAGCTTCTGGTTGATCACAGTCGACCCCCAGAGGGAGTTTGGCTCGCCGCCGCAGCAGGAGGCCCTAAAGGGCGGCCAGGAACGCCTCAGGGTCAGCCGCTGCCAGGTGTGCAGCAAGATCTTGTAGCTATTCAATAGAGTGGAGGGGAAGCGTCAGGAGCAGCACTTGATGGAGAATATGAGCGTGTGACTGACTGAAAAGAAGAACCTGGCCTTTCTTTGACGCTGATAACTTCAGATTAACCTCTTTATGAGGCGCAGGCTTATCAATGAAAAAAAATTGTGGAAGGAGGATGTGAATAGAGAAGAGCTCCAGAGGGAATCGCTCCTTTTTGGATTAACACTGACTATGGTGCTATTGTTAATGTCTGTGTTTTTAGTATATGACAGATTCCGCCTCATTGTATTTGGTTAGAATCCTTCTCTGCTACCTCGGAGGGAGCCATGTCTTTCTGATTTAACGTCACTTTGATTTAATGTGTAGTCATGAATAGTTTACACTTTCTATTAAACTGTACCAGTTAGCCACACAGATCCTACTTTCAGCTGCTGTTTGTAGTAAAAGGAATACATTTGACCAAAGTTTCCTCCTAGTTTGTGTCCAATTCATGGCTTCCAGAAAGACATGACCCATTTTTGCATCAACCGTTAAAAATGTTTGCTGCTCATTAAAATACTAACAATAAGAGATATTTATACAATCACATTTTTACTAAATAAGCTTAAAATATACCTTTTAAGAAAAATGTTGGTATCTAAAACTATGCACATTCCATTTGAATCAGAACAGGACAGGGTGTCAATTATGTCTTGTTTTTAAGATGAATTCCCTCGTTAGAAAACCATCATATGGATCAGTTTTAAATTTAATGAGTCTGATCTGCTTAACATAGAGCTTAAACAAATGCACTGAGTTTTGTTGGGCAGTGTTAGGTTACGTTCCTTTACTTAAAATATATGAAAAAAATAAATAAATAAACACATAAAGAATATTCAGAGAGCAGATAAAGAAAAATAACATTGTGTTTCTAGTAATATTATTTAAAAAAGAACAACTGGGAAGTCTGCAAAATATGGACTATATTCGGGATGGATGATTTATAATATCCCAACTGCAATATACGTATAGATAATTTTTCCTTATAAAAAGAACATCTTTAGGACAAACGGTAACAAACTATATTCCAAATCAATCTCTATTCAGAGCAGGTCAGATATAAAATCTAAAATCACCAGAATCAGTAAGGCAGACCGAAGGCAGAATTTTTTTTAAATAGATTTAAATCATATTGCTTAGTATTTATCCCAGCTTGTATGAGCATAGCCAGCATTTCATATATGTGTAAAAACCATATGGATCAGTCAGTTAAAAATAGTTTTGCTCATTTTAAATGTAAATCCCATCATCTACTCTCAGATGAAGGGCTAATTTGCTGCATAAAAGCATCTTTAAAATGCTAAATGAAAAGGAGGGGATTTAATTTGATGATTCTTATTAGGTACAGAAGAAGAACAAATAAAGAATTTAAGATTGTCAGCATGCTCTTACCTTCATACCGTTTTATATATAACCACCCATTGTAACGTAATCCACATTATTGAATACGATTTTAAACGATGATAAAGGAGCTCTGACCTAAACTCATTTACTAAAACAAAAAAGTGTTTAGGTCCGTTTCCATTTGTTCATTAATCCCAGATTAATTCTGCCGGATTATCTACAAGAGAAGAGCGAAATGTAAAAATGATTAAGCTCTAATAGCTTGATCATGGGATGTGTTTGTAATATTTGTATAGGGTTTGGGTTTGCAGTTTATAGACTGAATAGAAACAGCTTAAGGTTTATGAGTCTAACAGATGCAGAGATTTATGTTGCTTATATTATGTTTACATTTCATAGTTTGACACCAAAATTTAAGATCTGCTCTTATTTAGAGAAAAGCAAAGCAGCACTTTCCCATTAAATAATACGAACTAAAACCCGGTTTAGAACGAATGACTGATGCTGCACTGATGTGAATTCAGAATGATGGCAAAGCAAGCAAAGTGGGTCAATTTCAGCTTTTCATTTCATTTTATTGTTACTTTGATAAAGCTTCATGGAGCTTTTTTTTTGTGTATTTTAATGCTCTTCTTGTATAAGAAGAGATAAAATTGCAAAACTTCTGTTCATGTAACCACTACAGTGACTTCAACTAGCATGTCTCTCATCTGGTACTGCCAACATTTCACTTTTCTCTTTTTTTTCAATAAAGATTGTTTTTTTTTTGTAATCTAGATTGTAATTATTTTTTACTTGTGTCATAATAAAATCCCCTGGGTTCATTTACTAAGGATGGTAATGATTATATAATGTTGTGTACATAACATTTTTATGAAAAATGGTTATCTTTTTTATTGTTTTAACCACTGATTTATACGTTTTTTAAAATCAAATGTCACAATCAGCACCATCTTTTAAAAAACTGAAATGAATGAAACTTAATGTGGTTTCCCTCAAAGGGGATCCAGACAAAAAAGAAAGGTAAATCGTGGTGTATTATTGTAATATGTATTTTGGGGGCTCACATATTTCCTAATAAACTTTGAAAAACAGACTGATAGATGCCTGGGGATTATTTTGTTGGTACTGCTGTAGGAACCCTTGATACAAACAATAAAGCAGAACTTTACCCCATTTCATATTTTACTCTCAACAGTTTCAGCTTATCAGAAAATGTTGATATCAGATCTGAAAAATCTAAATAAATGCAGACTGTTATTTTAAAATACTGATTTAATTATCATGATTGTAACATTATCCATACCATATGGCATTATGTGGAAATCTAATTATCCATCTATTAAATTGAAGATCACAAATTTGCTAATAATCAGATGTTCATTTAGCTCCCTGCCTCCAGATTTCCAGTGCCACCCTGGGCAACTGGCCATCTCAAACATTTCATTCATCCATCCTTGCTAAAAGATGCTATCACACATTGCCAAAGCCCAATAAAAGATCTGCTGCAGATTTTCTGGATAATTTGTTCTACAGGTTGTTATTTTTTTAATAATGTTTCTGTTGAAAGTTTTTAACAAACCAATGTGATCCTGGTATCATTTAAGGGAAGGGCCAGGTGTGTGTGTGTGTGTGTGTGTGTAAGAGACTCAAGAAATAAAAAAAAATATATATATATTAATAAATTCATGTGGTGGGGTACAGGTAGGACAGGTAGGGAAACAGCATTGTTACAGCAGTTGATCTTGATCACTTTGATCAATAGTCTGTTATCAAGTAAACTTTCAGTTTTTATATAATAATAGTTCTTATTATTATTATTGTTATTATTTCTAAAAATAATATATTATATAAATAAATAAAACAACTTTATTATATAAATAATATATTGCTTCTTTTTATGTTTTGTTTTGTTTTGTTGTGTGTTTGTTTTTTGCCATTAACGCAATCTACTCCGGACCAGTAGGTGGCGATAGAGTTCTAGAGATCCAGTTGTGTTCAGAAGCAACGTTAGCTAGGTACAGGCGACGTGAACTTTTTTCTGCTATATTGGAAACATAATAACAGGTAAGTTGCAAGACTGACCGATAACAAAGTGTAAATATAAATAACTTCATGTTCAAATGTACATAGGTCTAAAGGGCGACGTATTATTGTTTTAATACCTATGCGCTAACAGTTAGCTTGCAGGCTAAACTGAAACTAAGCTAGATATATGTTTTTAGCAGCTGGCTTTGGTCGAGCTATGACATGAGTGAGATAATTAAGATATATAAAAACTATACCAGTAATATTCTAACAATGACTGATGAATGATCCAGTATATAACAATACATATGTGGCTGCAGGCTAGCAAACATTAAGCTACAGAACATACAGTGCTGCACTGATTTTAACTGCGTGGCTTTTGCATTTGATGAAAACTAAAGCATTTGATCATCTATACAGATTATCAAATAAAAACACATGATGGAAAATGACTATAACAGAAAATGTGAGGCTTATTTCAGAATGGAAATAACCCATACAGTAACTGTCCATCCCCGGATTGTTGTTTTATTGCCACTTATATTCGGTCTGCAGTTTTAGGCAAGAATTATCATCTGTTTACTTGAAGTTTGTGCATAATTGGTGAACTTAAAGCATGCTATTTTTTTAACAACTAATTTTGCACTGACGATATTTTAGGAGTATTGATATTGAAGCACAATTGTAAGCGTATTTAGTCTACTTTTGCTTGTTAAAGTGGAAAAGCTTCTAGTATACTTTGTACACTTTAAGTATACTGTTTATGTTCTACTATCATGCTTGATTAGTGTGCCATATATGTGGTGAAATTATAGTAAATTGTAATTTGAATGTTTTACATTTTCAGAGGTGTTATACTTTTGAAATATTATTATTGTGATGATATGCTTCATTATGCTTTTAATAATAAAGTAGGGCTGAAACGATTAATCGTGGTTAATTGTTTATTTAAATAAACATAAACTAATTAAGTAATCAATTAATTGTTAACTGGAGTATAGAGACTCCGAAACATTTAGCTGGCAGAGCAAACCACTTAGAGCAGTAATTATATCAAGATTGTAGAAAAATGTATCAACATTTTGCATTTTAGTTAAAATATCTTTTAAATCTGTCAGTATGCTCTATCCTGAACTCCCCAAATGGAAAAGATTTAGTGTCACCTTCTTTCATTTTGTTAAAAGTATTTTTTTAATGAGCCTTTTTTTATCCGATTATTAATCGGTTAATCGAAAAAATAATCGATTTGCAAAATAATCATTGCAGCCCTATAATAAATATATTTCTCTTAGCTGCTCATGTATATCCTGTGTTATGCTGCGTTCACACCGGGGGCAGCTGGCGCGACAGAAGCAGCGAGTTTACATGCAAAGTCAATGGTTGACGCGCGTCAAGGCGCAGCAAAAGGTCCCGCGGCGCGTTTCGAGCAGCAAGCGCAGCGCGTCTGAGCAGCTGAAGCAGCGCGTCGGGCGCGTTTTGGCATCTGACGCGCGTGACGCGCCGCAAACGCGTTGCTGCTCGAGATGGAAAAATTGAATTTTTGCTGCTCGACGCGCCGCGTCAACCAATCAGAGAAGCTGATCTGGGAGCTGGCTGGGAGAGAGACACAGCGCTGATGACACAGACTGCTCTGATCACTTCTCTTAAACAGTTTATTAAAGCATAATTAATTAAAAATATATACATCTGCCGGCAGAATATGTTCGCTTTTATTATTCTGGTGCCTGCAGATCGGATTATTTAGATGAAAAACACCTACCAGCCACCGCGGTAAACCGCGAGGAGGCGACCCGACCAGAGGCTGCTGATTAATGGATTCCTTCTGTCGGCGCACCGCCGGTATGTGGGGGTCTGAGCGGCTCCGACAGAAATAACAGTGGGAGGCAGGATTGTAATCTGGATGAACTGACTCCACTGATGAAGTTTTCAGGTGTATTTTCTCACTTAAAAACATATTAAAACTACTTTATTCCCACTGATCACAGCAAATATAGCTGCAAGGCAGAGAAAGGATAGTGAAGCTCCGCCCAACGCGCGTCAGAGCCACTTTTGGACCGCGCAGCGAGAGCAGCAAAGCTGCTTCAGACGCGCGTCAGAATTCACTGGTACAAGCAGCAAAAATGAAGCAGCAGAAGCGATTTTGCTGCTTTTGCTGCCCCCGGTGTGAACGCAGCATTACTCAGCTACTATTGCTAGTACTCTGGGGGATTTCTTGCTGCCACTTGTAGCATCTACATTCATGGCCAAGGTGGCTGTAATGCACCTATAAGTTGTTTGCGAACCGCCATTAAAAAAATAGAAGAAGAAGAAGCATCATTGTTTCTCTTCTGTGAAACATGGTTATCTCTAAAGAAACACGTGCAGTCATAATTGCACTGCACAAAAATGGCCTAACAGGAAAGAGAATCGCAGCTAGAAAGATTTCACCTCAGTCAACAATCTATCGCATCATCAAAAACTTCAAGGAGAGAGGTTCCATTGTTGCCAAAAAGGCTCCAGGGTGCCCTAGAAAGACCAGAAATTGCCAGGGCCGTGTCGTAAGTGTTTCAGGTGCAAGATCGGGCTACCAGCAGTGCAGAGCTTGCTCAGGAATGGCAGCAGGCAGGTGTGAGTGCATATGCACGCACTGTGAGCGGAGACTCTTGGAGCAAGGCCTGGTCTCAAGGAGGGCAGCAAAGAATCCACTTCTCTCCAGGAAAAACATCATGGACAGACTGATATTCTGCAAAATGTACAGGGAGTGGACTGCTGAGGACTGGGGTAAAGTCATTTTCTCTGATGAATCCGCTTTCCGACTGTTTGGGACATCTGGAAAACAGCTTGTTCGGAGAAGACGAGGTGAACGCTACCACAAGTCTTGTCTCATGCCAACTGTAAAGCATCCTGAAACCATTCATATGTTGGGTTGCTTCTCAGCCAAGGGAGTCGGCTCTCTCACAGTCTTACCTAAAAACACAGCCATGAATAAAGAATGGTACCAGAATGTCCTCCGAGAGCAACTTCTCCCAACCGTACAAGAGCAGTGTGGTGATGAACAATGCCTTTTCCAGCATGATGGAGCAGTTTGCCATAAAGCAAAGGTGATATCTAACTGTCTCAGGGAACAAAGCATAGAGATTTTGGGTCCATGGCCTGGAAACTCCCCTGATCTTAATCCCATTGAAAACTTGAGGTCAATCATCAAGAGACAGGTGAACAAATTAAAACCTAGGAATTCTGACAAAATGCAACATTGATTGTGCAAGAATGGACTGCTATCAATCAGGATTTGGTCCAGAAGTTAATTGAGAACATGCCAGGGAGTATTGCAGAGTTTCCAAAGAAGAGGGGTCAACACCGCATATATTGACTTGCTGCATTAACTCATTCTGTCATTAAAAGCTTTTGTTACTCATAATATGATTGCAATTGTATTTCTGTATTTGATGACAACATCTGACATGCACACATGAAAACCAGAGGGCAGCAGATCATGTGAAAATATAATATTTGTGTAATTCTCAATACTTTTGGCCGTGACTGTAGAAGTGATTATAAAGAGTTGTTAAGGTTTGTGGAAAAAACTGCAAGTACCAGAATATACATTCGAATATTTTTCGTTGGCAGGTTTTAACATTTTCAAGTGAAATTGTGGTATTATAAATTTTTTCGCCATAGTTCATAGAAAATGTTTTAGTGCAGCAATAATGATAGGGGCTCGCTCTCTTTTCCTTCTACATAATAATCAAATTTTCCAGCTTTTTCTGTACCTTTGGAGTTCAACTCCTTGATATTTATTTTGTTATATACAGAATAAAGGTTGAACAACGCTATGCTGGCGCATTTATAGTAATTTTTGCTCTTACGACACGGCACCAGACTGAGAACGAGCTTATGTATGAGGATTCATAACTTTTTACTTGCCGTCAACATCCAGCGGCTATACTGCAGAGTGGGGATTTTTTTATTATTTTTTTTATTATTAGTTGACAAAATTAGTCGACCAATCGGGAAAAAAAATTGTGGAAAGATTAGTCGTTAGAAATCAGACAGCTCTAGTTGGAAGTTAACAAGTCAGGTACCCTTGGTAGGTCAGAGATAAACTGCTGGTAACAACCTACTCAAACAAACTATTGACTCTAGTCTGTTTAATACAGATGATTCAGGTTGCTGAACAGTTACGGGAGCCAAAATAGCCAAAAGTGTCACCATATTAACATGTTTGTTTTCAAAATAAATTTTCACTAACTGTTTTTTTTATTTAATTTCCAAGTATCCTTAAAACATCTCTTTTTTTATGATATTAGACAACTTTTCATATATTTACAGACAGTACAATTCTTTCTTAGCATATTTAAACTGTTCTACTAAAAATGTTTTGAATAAGCAACTTTTTTTTGTCACCTGGTTGTGTAGCCATCCAGTCAGTTAATATTTCATAAGAACTCAAATATAAATGCCCTAAGAATTAATCTGTCATAGAAATCCAAAGCTGTAGTTGTAATTTAAATCTAATATGTTTAATAATTAATTTATTTTGTTCTTAAACAAATTAGTCATTTGTTGAATAATAAGCAGTGGCTACTGTACATTAACAGACACTCTGGAAAATACTGTGCCGCCCTTTCAGTTTTGGAGCTGGGTTTATGTGTTAAAAAAAAATAATAATAAAGTAACCCCAACTTTGGTTCATGTTTGCACAGTTCAGGTCAATTTATGCAAAAAAACAACCATAGCTGGGCTTATTTTGACTTAGTATGTGTAAGTCAATCTGACCTTTTCCACATTTCCTGTTTTCTATGTATTTAATCTTATAGTAGCATATACAGGATACAGTCTAGAAAAGTCTTAGTGTTATACATCTGGGAAAGAGGATAAGTAAAAAAAAAACGTCATATGCACATATGCAGAAAAAGGATAGAGAACTTTTATGTTTATTCTTGTTATATCGAAGCTGAAACTGCTTTCATATCACAAATACATCAAAGTGACCCTTCTGTTTATCCTGCTGCCTAAGCTGCTGTGACACTTCCAAGTCTTTTTATTTTCCCCTCTATCTTTCTTGTCTTCTTCTTGCTTCCCTTTAATGTTGTTTAAATTCACCCCTTTTGATTGCAGTTACGCTGGAATTTTCTGACACCCACTCGGACATGTCCTATGTCTTCATCAATGACTCATCGCAGACCAGCGTACCTCTGCTGCAGGCCTGCATCGACGGAGACCTGCCGTTTGCCAAGAGGCTCCTGGAGACGGGCTGCGACCCCAACATCCGGGACAACCGCGGACGCACAGGCCTCCACCTAGCTGCCGCCAGGGGGAACGTGGAAATATGCCGTCTGCTTCACAAGTTCGGCGCCGATCTGTTGGCGACGGATTACCATGGAAACACAGCGCTGCATTTGTGCGGCCATGTGGATACGATCCAGTTCCTGGTGTCCAACGGGTTAAAGATTGATATCTGGTAAGGATGTTTTTGCTTTAAAGCTGTCATGGATATTTGTATCATTAGTATAAGGTTATTCAACATGTAAAAGGGAATTATTTCATTTCCGATGTTTGGTTTTTGTTGCACCAGCTAGAGTAACGGTTGCCCTTGTAACATTAATACCTTGTGCATATTTAGATTTAAAGTTATATTTACCAGAGGGATAATAAATAATACATTTATGAATGGACCCTATAATGAATTATCAGACATATGAAAAACATCTAAAAGTTTTTTTTTTTTACCAATTATAAGAGCTGTTTCATTGCTATATAGCCAATTCAGGCTTCTCCTTGAGCATGCGTGGGTTGTCTCCGGATACTCCGGCTTCCTCCCCCAGTCCTTAGGTGTGAGTGTGTGCATGAATGTTAGTTTGTCCTGTTTGTCTCTGTGTTGCCCTGCGATGGACTGGCGACCTGTACAGGTTGTACCCCGCCTCTCACCTGTAGACAGCTGGAGATGGGCACCAGCACCCTTCGCCTAGCCTGACGTAGTCCGACTCAATTCTAGTCAGAATATGAGTCTGATACTGCTCCATAGAGCTGTGATTATGGTGCGTGTTTCGAATGAATCAGGGAAAAAAAATGCCTCTGGACTCAATTGGATAGACCTACAACCAATAAGAGCAACGGAGTGCGTGACGTATGTTAAGCGAGGCATAGTTGTTGTCCACAAAAATCTAAGCGTGCAGTTGCACGCCTAGAATAAGAAGATGAGACTTGATCGCGTTTCTCTGTTCCTCTTTTAAAATTAATTTGCTGTCGATATCTTCTAGAACAGACCTAATAGCAGAATCTACTCACCTCAACTCTCCAGCGGCAGCCATTATTGTTGTCACCCAAGCGCACATTGGTCACGTGGTTGATTACGTGACTGTTGATCATCTGTCCATCATGGTATAAAGCCCGCCCTGACAATTTGATTGGATCGCTTGGCAGTGGGCGATAATACTCGCGCTACTATGGAGCAGAGCCAGACCGAACTTCCCCGACCTCAAACTTTGTGGGCGGGACTAAGTTCGGAATGGCACCCAGGCTACCCTTCGCCACCCTGCTTGGGATAAGTGTGATGGATGGTAATGACTAGCAAGACCCGGCTAGTAAAACAAACTTTTTGCCCTCCAGCATTGTGTGCATGTGCAAAACCTCCTGAAGTAAAAAATAACATTCAGTGTGTCTATAGAATTTTAAAGGCCGACTTAGTCAGACTTATATCAGCCAATATGTATATATATTTTTTTAAGCCTGGACAAAGGCAGTGTATGCACTGTCTAACTGTAGTCCAACTCAAATTCTAATAACCAAAAGTATGATTCAAGACCAAGAAACTGCCTGATAAAATGCTGAACAACATTCACCTATGCATCATTGTATTCTTTTTGTGGTGCTATTTTAAATGTTGCCACAAATTAGTGGTTCTGGAGCTCTGGCTGGATGACTAGGATCTGAGTAGCGCCAGATGTGTTGCATCCAAAACCTATGCGACCTGTAGCTAATCTTTTCATGACAGTCTGAACAACACAGATCTTATTAGTTCTAATGCTACCCATTGTCTGAATGGCGAATTTTCATTCATCCGACCTGAACGGCATTAATACCTAGAAGTGGGAAGAAAAACAACAAGCATGACTGAGTCTTTTATTTTCAACCTTCTTGAAAGGATTGTGTTGTTAATGCACTGGCTGAAGTTGGGAAATAAATTAAAGATTCCAAGATGAGCTCCAGTACTACCATTCATGTTTCTTTATGTAAACGTCCACTGCTGCGCATGCAGGACACTTAAGTTGAGTGAATGCAGTTCTCACAGAAGATCACAAAAAAATTGCTTTTATTTTGAAATGTGAATGACCAAACAAAAGGAGCGGATTTAAAAAAATAAATAAATAATTTCGGAATTGAGCATCAAGGCCTGAAGAGTGAACGTAGTTTAAGTGGCTTCACACCTGACTGTTCCCCTCTGCCTGTGAAATGAATTTATATATATTTAGTTTTTTTTTTCTTTGGCAATTAGATGTGAATTCTCCAGATGAGCATTTACAAATGACAACAAGTTCATACAGCTTGAAGTGAAAACAAGCAGATTAATGGGATGTGTTTTGTATCTGATTCATTTTTAAAAGACTTATTCACAAAAAACAACTTAGAATTAGAAATATGCATTTGTTCTATTTACAAACCTGTACTAAACCTGTACCTGTACTAAAAAGTTCCATCCCCCACTGAACACAAAGGATTAAACTAGATCTATGGAGAAATGCTTCAACTTTTCAAAAATCCAAAAAGGATTACAACTAAACACAGAAGTTGGAGCCGTTTTAAAATGAATCTGATGAAAACATTAACTTCTGAATTTCTGAGTCCCAGTACAGCCTGCATGTCAGCATGAAGTGTGGTAGGACATATCTATTTTCTAAAATCTATAATCTTATTTAAGCTGGAGGCAGCTTGCACGGAGATAAAAATGCTAATATGGCCGCCAAAACTAGCACATATCAACTCGTCCGCTCTCAACGTGTGTTTCCTTGAGGAGCACTAATGTGTAGTTTTATATAGTTTGACAAAGTCACCGCTCATTATTTCTCCTTCTTTCTCTGCTTTTCCCCTCCTCCTCGCTTTTCTCCATTTGCTACAGCTGACAGTAGTAATCCGTCCAGCAGCACTGATGCAGCGGCACCTGTTGAGCTCTAACAGCATAACCCTGTGTCGGTGCGTGTAGCTTTTTAAGAAAGTTTGGTGACTGACAGGAGCTGTTTCGAACTGACTGATGCGCTAAACTGTGTTTATAAGCGCGTCTGTAAAATTAAATCTCTGATCTTTTGCAGTTTATTCTCAAATTAATCAAGAAATATGGAGCAGCCTGGAGGTAAAAGAAAGGTTTCAGCTGCATGGTACCACTTTGATCTAATACTTGTTTTAACTTTCTTGTTGTGCCATCCTGTTCCTCTCAGTTATCTCTCTACTTATATGACTTTAAAGTGTTTTCAAATGGACTATTAGTTTGCTGTTCTTACTGTAGTTATTACTATTATTATAAATAAATAAATCCTAGTCTACAAACATCCTTATTCACATGTTCCCTTAAATTTTCCTCTTATTTATGGATTGCATCTAAAAATATTAAACATATTTTCAATTTAATGGAAGATATGAAATAGTACATTATAGAAAAAAAATGGCTTAAAGGTACACTATGCAACCGGTGTTGATTTTCCAGCGAGGCTCCCCCCAGAGGGCGAAAGTAAAAGTGCACTGTCGTAAATATGCACAGCTGTTCTCCTGGTTTCTCCGTCAAGCCAGGCGTGGTTGTTTTGAGCTTAGCAGACAGGCGAACGCAACGAATGACTAATGCTGCGTTCACACTGGACGCAGCTGGCGCGACAGAAGCAGCGAGTTTACATGCAAAGTCAATGGTTGACGCGCGTCAAGGCGCAGCAAAAGGTCCCGCGGCGCGTTTTGAGCAGCAGGCGCAGCACGTCTGAGCAGCTGAAGCAGCGCGTCAGGCGCGTTTAATCATCTGACGCAGGGAGAGAGACACAGCGCTGATGATCAGAGGCTATGATCACTCCTCTTAAACATTTTATTGACACCTATATTAACTTAAAATGCAGAAATCTGCTGGCAGAATATGCAGTTTGGATTATTTAGATGAAAAACACCTACCAGCTGCCGCGGTGAACCGCGAGGAGGCGACCTGGCCAGAGGCTGCTGATGAAGGGATTCCTAGGCGCACCGCTGGTATGTGGGGGTCTGAGCGGCTCCGTCAGAAAAAATATTGAAGGCAGGATAATAATATTAATGAACTGACGGCACTGATTACGTTTTCAGGTGTATTTTCTCATTGAAACACATATTAAAACTACTTTATTCCCACTGATCACAGCAAATATAGCTGCAAGGCAGAGAAAGGATAGTGAAGCTCCGCCCAACGCGCGTCAGACACACTTTTGCACCGCGCAGCCAGAGCAGCAAAGCTGCTTCAGCCGCGCGTCACAACTAACTGGTACAAGCAGCAAAAATGAAGCAGCAGACACGATTTTGCTGCTTTTGCTGCGTCCGGTGTGAAAGTAGCACTGCACAAAGATCGCCACTGTGCTAGCAACGAGAATGCTTTTAACTGGGGGCGTGTAGCAGTTCTCGCCGTAAAGCAAGACTGACTCTCACGAGACTTTTGAGCCTGTGGGCGCGGGTCGGTGCTCCTGCAATTGCAAGTGCGGTATTTCCCCCACAGACCACCAGGGCGGCCGAGAATACCTTTGTTCAACCTGAAATGACTCATTTAATCATCCAAAACGTTATGGAACACATTAATTAACTCAAAAAAGTTGCATAGTGTGCCTTTAAATCATATTGTAGGTCATCAAATCGGTTTCTGTGAAGGGGCTGACTGTAGTGATTTTAAATGTCCAGCAGGTGCCAGTATTCAGTTACACAGTATTGACACAGTATCAGTACAGGCAAATGCTTCATGACGCCTTATAAACTCTAACATCATTATCCAAAGAGACTTAGACAGGTTTATTTTGTCATTTTGTATGCACAAGTGTAAACAAAAAGAAATTACGTTAAGAACAGCTCTCTAGACAATTTCATTTTTTTTAAGTCAAGCCTTGACAACAGTAAAAAAAATACATAAAAAAACAATAATATAAACATATGACTGTATATTTAAAGTTTTAATATTTAAGTTTTTTTAGTAATTAAATATAATAAAATACAGTAAAATAACCAATTTTACAGAACATTCATCAGACTAATGGCAGTGGGGAAGAAACTGTTGTGGAATCTGATGGACCTGCATCCAATGCTTCGAAGCCTCTTCTCAGAGGGCAGCAGGGATAACAGTCCATGGTGGTGGGGGTGTGAGGGGTCATTTATGATGTTACGGGCTCGGGACACGCAGCACTGGGAGGAAATGTCTTTAATGGAGGGAAGAGGAGCCTGATGATCCCCTCTGCTGTTCTCACCACTCTCCTTACC